CAATTTATATACTTCAGCCTGTCTACATTTGCAAAATGTCAACATGCCAGAGATTAAATTAAAGCAGGTCTCTGTAAAGAAGACACATCTATCACATTATTACTTGCAGAAGATTAACTAGTTGACATTTCTCTTCACTAAATCAGCACAATAGGACCTCATCCAGACGATTCTCTGTCAACAAGTCCTGTCAAACACATGTACATGATGGAGAATATCATTAAGTCAACTATCTGTCACACATTTTTCCCCAAGAAACTACAAAAGATTGTACTCTGACTTTGTTTGACTTTTGTTTGTGCTCAAATGTCAAGGACGCTGCGTAATTATGTTGCTGAAAATGTCCTTTCAATCAATTTGACCATAAATCAAAAAGTAAGAGCTCAGACACACACATGTCTGTGTGTACTGAAGCATGTTTAATGATACATTCCCACAGCCCCATGCTTCACCTGTTATAATGCTGTGCAAATGCAACCAGAATAATTAACAGTCTAAGCTAACATTTGATCAATCCAAATTGCCCATAGTGTGAGTCCAGTCAACAGTGCTGGAACAAACAAGAGCAAACCTTAACACAGGGAAAGGTCATAGGATCAATAATTCATTTAAGATGCTCCCTGGGATTGAGTCTGCAGTCGCCTTGTAATCAGGAGGGGAGATTTATTTATCTTAACCAACTTTAAATCCACAATCCTACGGTAGAAAAAACATTGTGCCACCTCGGTCGATTTTCAGTGCCCTCACAAGGCCATGAGATTTTCTGTTTTATTTACCCCCCAGGAGCTAGTAAAGAGCAGCTCTTAAATGAATACTTCAACTGTGGACTAAGCGTCTATTAAGGAAACTTGAGGGAAGAAAGGAAAAGGAAGAAAATGTAAGCATAAGGACAAATCCAAGGATAGAAGTGTATTTAAAGTGGGGATACACACAGTTTATTGCTTGCAGTGTACACTTAACATACTGTCTTAGTGAAAACATACTAACTATCAGAAAACTGAATTTTGTTGATTGAAATTCACACAGCAAGATAAAATGTGGGGTTAATGTTTGGATCTTTTTGAGCCACATATGATAAGGTCTTTCTGTGTAGAGTCGGTTGGATGAAACAACACCCTTGTCATAATATATATATTTATTATAATGGGATATCTTTGAGAAAGAACATGCTTTGCAGTGTTTTCAAATATCCATCATTTAGTTAGCATGTGCAGTGCTCCCAGGACTGGATGTCAGATTCACAGACAGAACCACCTCCTCTGATTTAAATAATGCAGCCCTGCTGAGTGAAAGCATCCAGAGGCTATGTCGGCTCAAACGCTACAAACCTGGTCTGAAAGATTTACCAAGTCTCCAGTCAAAGCCATGTCCAGGTGTGATGCAAAAATAAGATATATTAGCAAAATACAAAACAGTGAAACAAGACAACATTTGAGAGTGTTCTCTATACACTACTCTACTCTACTTCTCCTACCTGATGTGGAGTTGGTGGATGAAATCTTAAATGTAAAACTTTTTTTCTCTGAAAGACAGATGATGGTTGAATGAGTTTCCTGCTAAACAGCTGTCCTTAATAAACAAATTACTTTAAAGGAGACATTTCATAGGCAATTGCATCAAGGAAACAGCAGTGTGACCCTCAACTCACTTTCCAGCTTTATATTAAACCATATGGTTTAGAGTTTGGAGTCTATAAACACACTGACAATCCAGTCTCAAAGCGAGAAAACAAGACAATTTTAGTCTGAATGTAAATATTGGCTTACAGACAACATTATAATGACCCCACATGTGTTGTTCAGCCTGCTCACTCTGTACCTCCTAACATTTTTTTCTCTCACACCATGTAAATACCTGCCTGTAGATAATTTTGTAATAGAATGTGTTCTGCCACTCGCTCTAAATGTGTGCTTTTGTTAAATTGGATTCCAAATGCAATTATCTGCCATAACTGCTCATTTGAATGGATGCAGAGTCATTTATGTGTCATTTTGGAACAATACTGTATCTCTTGGAAGAGGTGAGGCCCATGGGGGGGCTCTGCAAGCTCTTTACTTTGTCAGGAGAGGCAGGAATAAATGACTAGTGCCTTCCAATAACTAGTTCCAAGGAGAGTGTTTAAAGTGATACTGTAAGCAAATGTCTGGCCTAGATCTGTTTGGTAATGAGTTGGATCTCCATGATTAGTCAAATCCATCACAAATGGTACTATTTGTAAAATGTTTGCAAAGCACCAGCATCTTTATATTCAGCAGGGAAAGCATGTTGTTGGCAGATGGATTCTCAATATCAAGACCAGACTGGTTATAACACTTGCTTTGAGGTAACCTTATGTAGGCACAGCAAGTCCTTTGTCTGTCTGGGTGCTAGTTTGATGTGTAGCAGTGAAATGCTTACTGTTTTCCATCTAAGCCGCACAGCTTTCACAAATCAGAGAATTGTTTCTGATGCGAGACTTCAAGATTGCTACGTTTCCATGCAGGCTGCAAGTGGATTAATCCAGCTAAAGAGTAATTGGCCTTGCATTGTATTGACTCTATGCATGAGGGAATTCAAATCACTTTCGAGTTTCAGTTCTGTAGGATTGGAGCCAGTACTCAAGACAAGCTAAGGTGTTTATGTGTGTTCATTTAATTTGGAGTAAGACTGCAATGGTCCTATTAATGGATTAAAGGGGCTGTGTGTAAATGTAATGATGTGAATCTGCTGACTGTCTTGGAAAATATCAGAGGGGGAAGTGAATAAACAGCAAACTGTCCAGTCTTAACAAATACTGTGAAAGTCAGGCACACAATATCAGTAGCCAACTGTGCAAAAATGCGGTAATGGTGAGTGAATCAGGCATGCTACTTTGTGTTGTCTCTATTGTTATCATTTCACATTTAGGATTGTTGTTAATTCCACACACCCCTTTTCAGCATCGTCTCACTTTCCTTCTCATTGTTTCTTTCTAATATGATGTAATCAGTGCAAATCACAAAAAGCTGTATGGAGCTACATTCAGCTTCAGCTGAAATCTGGACCACGTTGATTTACGAAAACAACACAAATCTTTTTCTTAAATTGGAATTTGTCAGTGTTGCCAATATACAGTAAGTGCGTCTTATGTCAGTCCAAGGCATAGTTTTAATATTTCATTTTAATGGTCAGCACAAACTTTGAGGACAAGACACAGCAAATGTAAAGAGCAGCAGAAACTAAAGCTATATGGAAATTCCTGAATTTGTCCATCCATCCATCCATCCATCGTCAACCGCTTATCCTGCGTACAGGGTTGGAGCCAATCCCAGCTGACCCCTGGACAGGTCACCAGTCCATTGCAGGACCCTGAATTTGTATGTATAACAAATAACAAATAACAAAGAGGCAGGAAGATAGACTGTGAGTGCTGAATTCAGCTAACAGAACGTAGTAGGTTCATTATGGTTATATTTGTAAATCTGCTTCTTGGTTTGTGTTTGCTTTTCTTCTTGTTGCCATGTACATGATGCAGTTTTCCTTGTTTCTTTTGCTTAAGGTGTTGTAGTGTCTCACCAGGGGCTATAAATGATTTATATGTTTTGTTGAACATTGTATATTTTTGTTGTAATATTAATGAGAATTTCATTTTAGAATTTAGTTGTTTATCTTTGCATTGTTTTACAAAGGCTGCTGGTTACAGAGAATATACACCATGCCAGCACTAAACTGAAACTGTCTCACACTGTTAAAAACAAAGATATTTACAGAACTTGTTCCATACGGGAGCATTCCCGACCGCTGGCCAGTCCATTTCAGGCCAAACCAGCCAGGGGTCATGAGTTTATATTTTTCACTTTCTCTTTTACGTCTGCTGCAGCGAACGCTGTCTGTGTGTCTGACTGGGCCAAACCAATACTGTCAATATGGAGGGGGTGTATGAATTATGAAATTATGCCCCTCCCCACTTGGACCAATCTTCGTTTTTGCTGAAATCTGATTGGCTCAACAGGGCCGATCAAAGAAATTTACTTTGCATCTGGAATGAGTTTAATCTCCAAACGTTTTGTCGGGGCTGAAGTCAGCGCTGGGTTGGGTAATAAGCTCAATAGAGATGGTAAATGTGGTGAAGAGAGTGAAAAAGGAAAAAGAAATGTGTGGTGCCGAAAAAATAAGAGTTAAGAAGAATTAACCGAGGAATCGCTGTATGTCTTTATGTACATTAGCTGTTGAGGTCAGTGAAGGTGATGCAGAGGGACGGGGTGATGATGACCCCAGTCATGTTGAGGAGGAGCGGCAGAAGGAGAAGGAGGAAAGGGAAGAGAAGCATCAGGAGGAGAAGGTAAATGGAACCAGACAAAACAGTGACAGGTACAGGGGCAGTGTGTTTTTAGAATTAGAGAATGGATTATTGTTAGTCATATTTATTGCTGATGTTCTTCTCATGCATATGTAGCTGTACAATCAGTAAAAGCAGAGGGTCCAGCACAGGGGAAGCTGAGCCAGGGAGAGGCCTACTCAGAGATTAAGATGAGGGATTTTTGAGCCACATATGATATTTTTATGCACACGCATACACACTGCTGTATTTTATTGGAATGTATTGTAGTTTTTGAGTATATTTAAGTATTTTAGCCCTCTGACTGATTCAGACTTGACCTGGTCTTGTTCAGTGCAGAGCTGCCTTGCTTATACAAACTGAGAACTAGTGTCATCCTGACGTTTCTTGAAAGTCTTCAGCATAATCTGATTCACTGTATACAACAAAAACACTAATACTTATTAAAATAACTGCAAAAAATATTTATGCCCGCCCCCAAAAGGGATCTCGCATAAAAGGCCTCTCCATCTCAAAGTCCCAGGCTGAATTTCAGTCCCAGTACACCCCTAGTAGTATCTCTCTCTCTCAGTGAAGGCTCAGTTTGTCAATGCTTCTTCTCAGTATCTACAAACATAACAACTGAATTTCTTAGCAAATGATGTGTTTATGTTGTAGTAAATGCTAAATTCATTCCCATTAATTGACAACAGTGCAACATAAACACAAACTCAAACATCATTTTTATTCTCCAAATATACAGAGCAAAATCATCATAGATTCACAGACCAGTACAGGTAAAATACAACCATTTTTCTTTTTTTTCTTAGATACAGAGAGCCACTGCCTGAAAATAGTGGTTTAACCAGTAGAATGTACATGTTGTCTTTTCATTACAATTATGCTTATGGTTCACTGTTTATACAAACTCTTGACCAATGACCATCTAATTTAAGTACTTTTAAAGAGCTGGGTCATGTAGTATTTGCAAACTAGTTTGCGTTATTTGGTGTTCAGTACAATCCAACCAATCACAGAGAAGCATACCCATTTGGCTTTCAAATGCTTTTTTGCAACTCTTTCAATTTTCTGAGGCTTATCGCACATTCCTTGCTGCAAACCAAACCACACTGATTCTTGGCGTGCCCTGCAGGCTAAAGCAAACTCTGAGGATTATTTGCAAATACTATTTAGTCCAGGCCTTTTACCTTACAGTTGTAGGTTATTAAAGTACTGACAAGGTATTGATTGGTAGAAAAGAAAAAGAAGTGAGAGAGAAACAAAGTGATAGAAAGCATTTACACAGTAAAGAAAGGGTTATTGTGATCAATGTTGCAAATGGCACCTGCTCTAATGTGTTCCATCATGGAAAGTAATACCAGTCACAAGGAGACTTCAAATAGCCTCATGAACACCAACCTTTGCAGGCATAGGCAAGATATTGTACTTGCATTGCAGTACTAATGATCAGCACTTCTTTATTAATTTTCTTATCTAGTTTATTCAGACCAAGAAATTCATTATGTGCATTAAACAAATTTAACATAGAATCCATTACAAATGCCTACCATTCAGTCTTCACTTCACACTGCTCATAACCTCTGTCTCTCACTTTTACAAATGTCCACTGTCCTACTCTGCATCCTTCCACTCTGAAAGGGATGCTTTGTTTTATTAGGGAAAGGGCCGCAACCCCTTGTAATTGTTCTGGGTCTTTGTGTTTATTCATCTGTTATGCCCTGGCATCTGTGCAGTGCTTGTAGCCAGGCAAACAGGCGCCGCCAGCACCAGCCGGAGAGGCGTACGCAGGTGAGCAGGGCAGACTTTGTCCCCACATGGGCTTTGATTCCCAGAGACAGACATGGCACTCGCATCCTGTGGTACTCTCATGCCCACTGTAGCTGCTGCCATGGGGGGATGGACAGAAGGCTGGCCTATCAAATATTTATCTGTTTGCAGTGCAGTGTGCAGATTCTCTGGACTGGGAAAATGCATTATGTTTGGATCAGTGTGGAAGCTGCATCAGATAAGTCAAATCTGACCTTTTGGACAGGAAAGCAAATTTGTTATGTTTGTAGGGAGACTGCTGAATGTCTCCATTATGATTTGAATGATGAACAATTCTGAAGCTGTGAATGTACAATGATGCATAATATATGCAAATAATAATAGAAGTGAAAACTGTGTCCCATGCAAACGAGATCACGCTGTAATTGACTGCTGCCGATGTCCAGGAAAGAATTTCATCCTGTACTCATAAATGTTGATAAAAATAAATAATAAATGGCACAGGCATACTTGACAGTCATCATGGTGCCAAATGCAATATATTGCTGGGCATCTGTGCATCTCTCAGAAGGGCTCAAGGTATAATAACCTCTTACTGCATCTCACTTCAAAGCTGTCCCAGCTAAGCTCAGCTTCTCATCCTATAGCCTCCTGTGTGCTTGGTGTACAGAGTGAGAGTTCCCCCGTGAGATCGGGGGGAAGAAAAACTGCACACACAAGCCTTTCATGTAATTTGTGAGAAACAAGTAAGGCTGATGAAATTTTTGGAACGGAAACAAAGAGAAAATGATTGTCTTTCATACTGTTTTGATGCCACGTGGATTTGTTGAGCTCTAATATAGTAAAATCTGACTGAGAAAGAAAGAAGAGCCAGGAAAAATTATATACACAGAGAGACAGCATTAGAGATTTATATACAGTCTGCTAAGTGCCAAGCTGGATTATCAGCTCTGAAACAGAGCTTTTTGTCTTAAACTGTACAATAGGCGCCAATCCATTTGTAAAATTAGAGTCCAAACCACTGCCACTCAAGTGTAAAACCCCATTCAAATGCTTTGAATATAATCAAATGTAAAGTGCTTACAACAACAACTCGCTTTTGTAGGAAATGCCTTGCTTGGTTTTTCATGGGTTGTGAAGGAGATTTCACAGTTTGAGGCTCACTTCATCCCAACTGACTGCTGCAATATGGAACATTTTAAAGACACAACCTAATTAGATAAGATTTATTGTAACCTAGTAAACTTTCTGTCACATTTGTTGTTTGAATCAACACAACAGAAATGACACAGACACTGTGAGCCACTGATTTCACTACTACAGTTTTACAACAACTTGTTGTTATTTTCCAGGCACTCCTCTTTACCCTTCAAAGAATTGATCAAATAACAATCAAGATGATTCTATAAAATACGGCTAGAACAGACCTTGAAAGCAAACAGGCTAAAATTAAATGTGATATAATGTATAACACGACTGTAGCTGTTACAGAAAGGATCTATGTTTACTGTAAAGGGCTGCCCTTGTCAATAAAAGCCTGCATTAAGGAGACAACAAACAAACTTTGTTGGCTTTGTATCTTACTTAGAGGTCCAAATCTAACTTGACATACAGTATCTGTACTATACACAAATCTGCATTAAGATTCCCAGTTTTGCCCAGTCTTTGTGTTCTGCCACAAAACATGTACAGTGCATGACTACAACACTCTTGACAAAAGGCTGACTTTCAAATTTAAGGTAGTATGAGTGTTTGTGTAGCTGCAAGTTAAATCACTACTCTCTGTCTCTACTCTCAATTAAAACAATTACAGTGTCAGTGATTAAATAATAAATCCAATTTCATATGTCACATACAGTGCAGGACAGAAAAAAATTAAACAACGCACTTGAAAAGAGTCAGTGTGTCCACATCAGCTCCACAGTAGCAAAAAAAGAATACCAGACAGCAAAATAAAACACGTTTTCTAGATTTGCTTTTCACGTCTCTTGATGATCAGCATAATCACAGGTAGGTAGGCAGTCAGGATGCACTAATCTCCAGTGTCAACAATAGTATTGACAGTAGCAGTGGGGTAACCACACAGTAAGCTCAGCTAAAATATAATGTTTACATTTCATGAACAGATACCCTCAAGTATATGGCTGATCATCTGCATTAGCAGGAGAAACTCACAAGTACAAAACATGTTGCAGTTTGTGGGCTTTCTTGCTGTATGCCTTGGAGCTGGATTAGGCGTGGTAACACCATGAAGAACCCAGCTTCCCATCAACAAAAGAGCTGACAGTTTATGTCTAGTTCTCTTAGTCAAAGTTTGTATTGACACAGTTCAAACAGACCCTCAAGGCAAAGTAGATATGGACAAGAAGAGGCGCTCATGGCTCATTTAAAGTCCTCCATGAGGAAAAACAGAGTCAGAAATTAGATGATAGAAAAGAAATTACGGTCACATATGTACACTGATATTCTTTATCGCAGAGTGTCACAGAAAAATAATGACTCAGGGAATTAAAATAAGATCTCAGCCCCTCTTTATCTGCCCAGCTCTGTGGCCCAGATACTGCTGCTGAGAGAAAAACAGCCGTTCTTTTAAATGTTCGAAACGTCTGTGGGCACATGGAGAAAGTTTTCTTCCACCTACACAGGAGACCAGTTTCAACAAGAAAGCTTAACATACAGTGTTTGAAGGGAAGATGGGGGGAGGGAATAGTTATCTCTTTAACAACTAAAAACCACATGCACATTCATTTTTGTGCTTCAAACTACAAGAGAGCAGAAGGACACTGGCTCACACTCATTATCGTGCCGTTCGTGCTGAGTTTTTATGAATGACAATCTTCAAAAGGAAAAATTGTCACACAAAGGTGGTATTCCTGCCCTCTGCTAGCCATTGCACAGCAGTAACCAACTTGTGTTGTCTCTGTGTTGGTAAATAACCTCTCTGTGGCATAATTCTGATTATGGGTTAAAAAGCAGGTGGTTGATGGGTTAAGCATGAGGGAAATATAAGCATTCTTGATCCACTTTTTGGGACATTGAGAGGTCAGAACAAGTCACACAGTGTGTTAAAGCCAACCATCCCCTGCATCTCCAGGCGTCCAGTGGAAACAGTAACTTTGTTACATTAGTGGCTCCAGGGTGCTCATCCTGTGACAGTTTTACAATCCTGGCTGCTTGTTCAACCCTGTTAAAACACCCTCCCTCCCTGATGGTCAGACGTGGGTCTGCATGCGCTTCTGGAGCGGCCTGGTGAGGTCTGAGTTCTGCGAGGAGGACTGGGAATAGTGGGAGGAGGAGGAGGCTGATGCCTTGCTGTCTTTGTCGAACTGCACGTAGCCGTCCGGCTTACTGTAGCTGCTGACGCTGCTGTCACACTGCGTGTCGATGAAAGAGCTGGAGTCGCTGAGTGAGCCACGCTGGAACTCCCGCTCGCACAGCTCGATGGAGCTGCTGCCCATGCCCAGCACGAAGCGTTGGCTGTAGTCGTACAGACGGTTGGGACCTGCTCCCAGAGTGGAGTAGATGTTGGTGAAGGACATTCCCGTTGGTACCCGCTGCTTGCCCAGGGTACCTGTGTTGGTGGGGTTCCTCACCTCAGTGGACTGATTCCCAGCCATGGTAGGGGTGTGGTGCTCCTTAAAGGTATTGACACTATAGTAGCCATTTGTAGGGTCCTATTGGGAACATAGGAAATCACAATTCTTCTTATTATCATTATTATTATTATGCATTTACATTTTTTCTTTTTTTCTATACCAGGTGGTAGAAATGGGGGGTGGGGGGTTGTGGGGGGTTAAGATACATTGTGAACAACAAATCTGTGTTGAAATGATAAAAATCCTGCTCTCTGTGAGCTCCTACACAAACACACATACAGAGTAAAGTCAGTGGTCAGCAGAAAAGAGGCCGTGCTGGAGAGGTCAACCGGGAATGTGAAGATAACTCCAATATTACTCTAGTTGATGACTACTTCTTCATTGTTATTGTAGGTGCAAAAAAACCTTTGAGAATAAAAAGCCAGTACTTCAACAAGCATAAGCGTATATAGTAAATAGAGAGTATATGGTGACTTTGCTGTTCTAGAAACAACATTTAGTTATATTTAAAATATTAAATTCCAATCCTGTTCTATAATCTATAATCCTGATTGTTTGACAATTCATGTGTTTATTGTTGTTGAACAGGAGAGGAAAGCAGAGCAGGTGACGAGAGGAGACAGCATGAGAGCAGCAGAGCAGAGAAAAGTAGAAGAACATGTTTTTGGAATCTGCATAAGCAGTGTCATCAAGTCTAAAAATAATTAGTAGATCACGGCAAACGTAATTTTAAGTAACTTTGTATACTTTTTATACAGCTGTAATGAAAATGAGTAAATCAATGAGAATGTGTTTCTGAGAAATCTGTGAATGTAAATCCCCCCCAGACCCCCACCCAAGTATAGTTCCCCCAGTAAAATGTGGCCATTTCCACCACTGGTGATACCTAATTGCAAACTGAACTAGAAGGGGAAAGGAAAACCATCTCCTTGTTTATCTGCATTTCTGTGTATTCAAAGCCCAACAGGAGCCACGGTCATTTTGGCCGTAATTACCTTTCAAATGTCTGAATAAATAAGGAAATAAGCTGCCATATACATCACAATAACAAATGAGAAACAGTGCTTAGTGTTAGGATTTAGTCAGCCCCCATGCTAACCTTAAAATCATGTTTCTTGCTAATTAAGCAGGCCTTGATGATTCATAGTTTGGCATCCAACGTGTCACTGCAAAGTTCACTCACATACCAATTTTAATTGGACCTAAACGGATTGTGTGTCTGTTATTTCATGTATGCACTGAAATGGCTTCTGAGGCTACAGCTGTGCCACTTGTCTGTCTGCTAGGCTGCCGGCACCGTGCTGTTGCTAAGGTTCCAGTTAGGGCACGAGTGTCTGTTTTTTTTATTTTTATGTGCTCGCGTGTGGATGTGAATGGATGTGAATGTCAAACATAGTGAGCGTGGTGGCAAATCCCAAAAGAAGAATGCTCATAATGGGAAAATGAGAGCGACAACCTGAGAGGATCCTCGTTATGCTTCTCATTATCAGACAGGAGACAGGGAGATTGTGTGCGTCTGGCCTTTATCTCTCGTTCGGTCCCCCCCTCTGCTCTCGCCTCATGCATGCTGTCATTAACTAGGATCAAAAAATGCGGCACAGAGGGAGCAGGAAAGCAGAGAGACACAACAGGAGTACACTCCAGGGAGCCAATGGCAACATTTGTTTGGACAAGAACACTAATGCACGGGTCAGAATTTTGTTTTCCAGAGAAGATTTACAGCAAAATAGACTGGAGACGTTTAGAAGTGTATCTGCACCTCCCAGTGGTTTTGATATGATAAATATCACATTAACAGGAGCGGGATGTTGCTTTAAAGAACGTGTTGGAAAAGAGAGCAAATCGGCATACTTAAAAAATACTCAGCACTTCTCCCAGGCCTTTATTTTCTTTAAAGCAGTCCAATCCCATCTATATAGTATAAGTAACAGCTTAAGTAACTTAAATAACACCTTAAGGGCCAAGCAGCATCTGATTTTTTTAACCACCTTTGATGAGAGACTAATTAATAAAGAGACATTTTTCCTCTGGACTTATCCTTAGAATATCCTGAGTAGCAGGAGAGGGATTAAAGCTTGTCAGCTATTTTGGTCCCAGAGTTGAAGACCACCTGGCCCCAAAGGCTCCTCTCTTTCACCATCTTCTTCTTCTTGTTCCCCCACATTCACAAACTCATGCTGTCGCTGTTCTTTTTCTTTTCTTTTTTTTTTTATAGATAGCTTTATCTTTTTATCTTTTAGCTTCTCTTCTCGAGTCGTACCTTAATGTGCTGATACTCCTTCTCTTCTCTTGTAATACCTCCAGCTGCTTCAGGACAGATTCCTGCTGGAACTCTCCTCGTTCAACCTGCATAGAAATCAAACAAAGTATACTAAGAGTCTGTGTAGTTTCTGAAACTCTACCACTCATAGAAAGAAGGCTTTTTGAGACGGAAGGATTTCACTTTCATCGCTTGTTCTTTTTTTAATCACAGTCAGACATGTTTCACCTTCACTCAGGGCTGGCAGGGAGCATTAATAATGTATCCATGAATATCTTTTATGTATCTTTACAAAATGCAGATTTGTAAGGTGGCTAAGCTCATTTCTCTGCACTAACGTCAAGTACAGAATGTATTAAGTGTTTTTGAAAGAAAATGTAATCCAAAACCTCACACTGCAAATAGCCCAGCCCTGGAGCAAGCTTCATGAAAACCAAAACACTGGTACAGTTCCAAAGAGGAAACAGTTATTTGTGTGTCTAGAAGGCATGTAGATAGAGAACTACACCCACTGTAGGATTACCCAGTATGTATCAGCATCGCTGTAGTTACATTGTATTGGGGTCTGTTCTGCTCTGGCAACCTATAGATAAATATAACCTCTATGCCTTGACTGCAGCACATGTACGATCTACTTTTCCTTTCTATTCTTCCATTACTCATAAAATAATGTATTTGCAGTAAATAGCAATGCAAGTTGTTAATAATTCATTATGTTACTGTGAGCTTGGGAAGGAGAAAAATATGTTCACAACAAAATTCTGAAAACAGTAAACAAGAAATGGAAAGTAGTATGTTGCGACACTCACACTCACCATCAGTTGTTTCATGGAGGTGTGTTCTTCATTTTCTCGTGCTGCATTGTGGTCTTTGTGTACAATCTCCACTCGGATGTCATTTTTCGCAGACACGACACCTTTCAGATCTGGCAGAAACAGATGACGCATATATCTCAGTAATCTGGATAAACACCATTCTGTATGTGTTGACATTATAAATTCCCCCAGTGCAGTAGTACAGAATCTAGCAAAGATCCCTGGGTTTGGTTTGTGAGAGCTCCCCCATTTCCCGAAAACAATACAAAGCATTATTAATCATTTGTTTCCTGTCAGAACAAGATTATCTTTTTTTCTGCATACATATGCAATCTCACACAGCCTTCGACGGTGGCTCATTCTGTTTGGGACAATGCTGATGATACTGTCATATAACAAAATCTTACTTTCTGTCTTAATTTTGCTTGCAAGTTCTCTCTGGTGAGCACAGATGGAGACGGGCAGTGAGGGCATAACCAGGTGCGCTTCCTCTGTAGTATACAGACAATAGACATGCTGAAGGGACCAGTAGCACAAATTGGTTCATGGATAGAGACAGTGGCTGACTGTCTCTAACCTGAGTCACTTGGTACATGGGTGGGTGGCAGTGAACATAGCGCAGGATGTAAATAGCCTCAAAAGCGAATGCAGCCAGACCGAGATTGCATGAAATGAGCCCTAGTTACAATCGGGCTATCTCTGCACCACAAAAAAATGTCCATCTTAAACAAGTGATTTCATCTTGCTATAAGTGTGAGACTGTTTCAGCAATTTCTCTTGTGTCATAAACTTTCTAAAGTCAAAAATTTGCAGACAACCAAAATAACATAATAGCTGAGTTTTCCCCCAATTTGTTTTAGTGAAAACAATATCTACATTTGGTAGGTGGACATTTTTCTTGTGTGCGATACAGTTCTTTGACATGCATGCTTCAGTGTCTGTAACAGGGAAGAGGAGACATACTTCTCTGGGAGCGGGTGCAACAGAATGCTCCGATGGTGCCCATGAGGACAATCAGGGCCACAAAAGCTCCAACAGCAATGCCGATGATCACTGCCACTGGGAGAGATTCTGCAGAGAGCAACAAAGAGAAATGTTCTTCTACAGTTACATAACTACAAAACTCTCAAATGTACATTCACTTCAATATCAGGTACATGACAGAGAGTACAAAAAAAAAGCACACAGTCATAATGCAGAGGCCAACTTTCCCCTTTAGGCACACACATGCACCAGTTCACCTCATCTCTCCTTCTTTTCTGTCTGGAACTAAGGGAAGATTTTGTATATTTTATCCCTCTAAGTGACTCTGACATTATCCCTCAGGCACAAGGCCATGCAATAAAACACACAGCCACAATGCGACAGAAAAAAACGTTTCTCTACTGTATTTCCAAATTAAACAAATTCAATTAATTACCAAACCTTTTGTTATCAGTGCGGGTAACCATTTTCCTACTAATATTGTCTCATCATGCTATTACCTAATAACTTTTAATTTACATTAATTTAAACTGATAGAAGCATTTCACTGAGGGCTTTTATTTTTTCATTGAGCAGAGTGCAAGAGTGTGTGAATTAGTTTAAGCCTAATAATCATATTTGTGTGTTTCTGCGAGGATGTTATGTGCGACTAGGAAGAGATTAAACCTGCATCTATATATGCTTCTCCAGCATTAAAGGTCCTCATTAAAACATACTTTAATGACCTGCGTTACCAGCCCACATTAATGACCTTCTTGCACTTTAAACAAACACAAACAACCAAGTGCACTCCCTGCATCATTAAAGCCTATTTAATGTCTTCATTGATCAATGTCACTTTCACATAAGCAGCTTATAATTTATCATTTACAATGAGTGGAGAGAAAACACAGCTTCCCCTGTGGTAGAGGGGAAAAGGTCAACACATAAAAGTATTCATTTTGGAGGCAAAAGAAATAGAGAATGTTTTACGTTTGTCTTTCACAGAAAGAAAGCAGGGAGAGTGTATTTTATATTCAGGGTGAGTGTATGCTGAGGCTAAAGTTCAAATTACCAGGGAGTTGCACTTTATGTTAACCCAGAAAATTAATTTGTGAGCAATTTATCTGTGTCATCATCACAAATGTTTCAGAATTTAGGCCATGCAGTGTAATTCATTACCATCTTGCATTTCCATATCTGTAACTTATTTGTGATAGAATTTGAAAAAAATCTGAAGGGATGTTTATGCACACATAACGGCTGTACCAAAGTACAAATGCACTGTATAATATCCTAAAATCAATGTGTCAACCGATGGTACACAACTAAAATGTAATAAATCTATTGAAGATGTGTTGTTTTTATTTGTTATTGTGCATCAATATTATTCAAATATGACCACTTTGCTATGAAATCCCATCTCATGCAAACTTACGCTCAAACACACTAACCCAATGACACACGCTAAAATGCGCAGTCACAAGCTCACGGACACAGTTTAGGCACAACCACAGTGATGCACGCAAAACACTACAGCTTGGCTCTGTCAATTTCTAGAAAGTCACGTGATATGAAGAAGAGGAAGGTGGAACCTGTCGAACCTTGGCTCCCACCTTGTTCCTTAAGGCGTATGATCTCAGTGTCAGATCCAAAGCTGTTCCAAGCAGTGCAGTTGTAGATGGTCTGGAAGTCAGCCGGGACAATGTTACTCATGGTCAGTGTGGAGATGACTCCTTCTTCTGTGGTGACGGTCTCCACGGTATAGCGGCCGGATGTTCCAGACTCCAACACAGTTTCCTTCCATGACCAGGCCTGAGAAAAGACAGAGGGTTAAGAGATGGCATGTATTGTGTAAAGATTTGATCACTACCAGCTCTGTACAGCAATATTTTGATGAACTGCCACATGTTAAGGCAGCAGTCTTAAGAAGACGCCGCCATAGTACAGGATCAGTGGGAATACACTAAAGATGTATTATTCTACTCCATATACATGTTAGAATGCTGTGTTGTGGTTAAAAATGTTGTGGTTAAAATGTTTTTGTTAACTGGCCATCATCTCTGTTTGACAAGCTGCTAGCTCACTGAGATATTACTGGAATTTGTGGACTGAGCTAATGTCTAATGGATAACTGCAAATTGCATGCACTCTAGGCAGATCTGTTCTCACTGCAGTGTTCGGTTACAGTGCTTTTTGGATTTGGCTGCAAGCAACTATTTGTAGAGCAGTTCCTGCTGTGGACTAGAATGATATAAAAAGGTAGAAGAAAAGGCAAGAGATACTACACATTATTTTCAATCTAGTCAACAAAAAAATTAAAATATTTTCAAATTAAGATAACACCTTAATGGCAACAAAAACAACACTTACAACAGAATTATTTGATGGAAATGTTTTCACTTACTGTGATAACACAGCAGCACTGCTTTTCCTTTTTGTTACAGACAACAAAACTTACTAAGTCTAACTCCCTTCTCTGGTTCTTAATGGATAACATAGGTTCTAAGGCTTTACACTGGTATGGTATGATTTGTTTGTGGATATGAGTTCAACTCACATTTGGTGTCAACTTGAAAAGTGTTTTGATTGGGTCGGGATTGGGGGTATATTAAACCTACATAATATATTGGTTTAGTATACCTATAGTATGTAGGCAGTGATGTGGCAAGAGAAATGTAGGAAAACAATGGATATTTGCATATACTGGATTTATTTATTTATACAGTGCTATGATAACGTAACACATGCCATTTAGTGGCTACCTTTGTTCAAGGCCTCTTAGTGCAGACTGCATTTTTTTTGTGTGACTATGGTGAGAATTACATGATTCATTTTTGCTCACTTTTGACTAAGAAACGAGGAAATTAATTATACTGGTTAAAGAGTGAGAAAGACAAACTGGTACATAAACAACACATCCAACTTCAAGCTTTACGGACAGGTGGCTAAACTGAGTTGTGAAATGCAGTGTTACAATGTTACACATTTTGCCTTTGGCTCAAGTGTTTTTCGCTTTGTTCTTAAGCAAAAGAATGCTGTTAATTGACTTCTAGGATACCAAACTACAAAAGTGAATAGCTTTTTGGGTGTATTGGGTGTAAGAAGAGAGGATGTTCAGTGTTAAAATGACTGTAAAGCCCACAGTGAAAAAATTTAGATTTGTAGCTATCTAAACATATTATGTTGACTTCACTTGACATAACCACATCTTATGTTTCACATTTTAAATTTCTGTAGACATAAAGATGAATAAAGAAAACAGTTTGGAATCAAAAATAAACATTTACCTATTAAACCCCAGCAGCCAGGCCTCAAATAAACCTGATATTAATTATGTTGCTAGTTAACGCTGGATATCAATATAATAAAAACACACATTAGATGACAAAGTATGGTAATTAACCACCCGCATATGCAAACGCACACACACACACACACACACACACACACAAATTAATAACAAGGGCAAAATGACCTCAGAGAGTAGGCTGTTTATATAAGGTCCATAAATCTTAATGGGTTCAGTGCTAACAGAGCCTAAGTGGGAAATTGAGGGTTCAAACTTTAGTTTCATGCTCACATTTTCATATCAAAACAAATGATAGAGCTATTGCTATGACATTCTTCGTTGTGTCCATGTGTAGTTAACAGATCAGGCGTATTTCAGACACAGATATGAAAAGAAAGGTCATTATATTATCTAATTTTCATTGTTCAGGTGCCATAGATCCATAAAACAATTATTTACCGTTATAGTTTTTGATCTGTCTTTGCAGTAAAATAAAAGCTGCGTTAAAGGCAAAGTTCAGACAAACATGTGATCAGAAAAACTCAGTAGTCCAGATGTACTCACAATGCGGTCTGGAGGAGGTGTACTTCGAATGAAACATTTGATTTGTCCTTTTTCTCCATGTAAAGCCTGCTGTGTCTGTGTACTGGAGATAGTAGGTGGCCCTGAAAAAGAACAGTCATAAAAAAAAGGTTTGAAGATGGGTCACAGAAATTTCAATGTGAATAATTTAATTTATTTTAAGATTCAGGTCATATGACAATACTGCCCAATCGAGCTTTCGTGGTACATTATACTTTAATTGCTCTCCTGTTCCAAGTAGTAACACCTGATGTGTTCAGTAATTTTGGACTCCTGGGGAAGATTGCATTGTGGTGCGATATGAACTCACCTCTTACCTCAGTACAATCTACCCAAGGACACGCCAGGACTGAACGAAGGGTATAAGTGGGGGCCCAGACCTCATTCTTGATCAAGCAATTGTGGGTTTATGGTTGGCTTGATTTCTCCCATGGAGATAAACGTCACTGGAGAGTGCTACAGTAGTTCTTTAGAGCGTATTCACAGATGGAAAGAGAAAAATGCCATTGTGGGGAGAGGACACGCTTGTGGCAGTGCATGTATTTATTAGCTGTAGATTTGACCCCAGAACCTGGTAGCAAATAACTAAACATTAAGCAATCTTCAATCACTGTATGACAAAATACATTATGTTTTATTGTATATTGTATCCTTATGTTGTGTATTTTTATGAGTTTGATTAAATCGAATGGCTTTGTTGCAATTCCAAATTATGGAAACAGGTTCAATAACAATCTAGTTCAATCACCAGGAGCTGCAGGTATGGACTTGAAGCCAGCATGTGTTAAAACTTGGTCAGGCCACAAGATCTTGCCTGACAAGGGCAGCTCAGCCTAAACGACTGGTCTGCTTGCCATCTGGTCTGGAGGCTGTTCACACCAGGTGACAGCACTAATATGAAGACAAGATGTCACACATGACCCAGTTCTGTCTTTCAAGTGTATTTTCCCTTTGGTCTTGAAGAGCTCACTGTAAGTAAAAGTCCAGAAAAGCAAAGTACAGAGGCAATGGCTTAATTAAATAGATGCAATTACAGTTCAAGAATAACACATTGTACATGATCCAAGTGTATTTTTATCTTATTTCATATACAGTAATTCCAAATGAAATTAGATAGTAGGTTACAAAGAGTGGTATGAGGGAAGGGCTTAATTTCTTATAATCTTGTCATATGTATTTTGTGTTGATTTGTCATTTGCTGTTTGTTATGTAACTGTAAATTTTATGAAAAGTTTTCTCTGTTCTTTCGCTGTTCCCACCATCACTGATTTCCAGTTTGGACCTCCTCAAAACAGAAGCCAATCCAGACCCAGCCTAACATAGTCATCATCATAACATCAGTCATGTCTGAAAATATTTTAAAGCTGGGTTTCTAAAGAGATGCTGCCACAAAAATTAAACATGGAAAGGTTTCCATCTTATCTTTTTTTGCTGGGTAAAAAGGCCCTTTGAGGGCTATTTCACCACTAGAAAGATGGTATTTTCATAAAACTTGTCTATGCAATAGCATGATGCAAATACTTTTGAAACTGGTGCTTCATAACCAAAGAGAAATGGCTGTGGTATTCCAGAAAACCTACAACAACCAGAATGCACTGGGCCCATTTCTTTCCAAGGCTAATCCCACTCCCAAACTTCCCCAGCTCCTACAAACAGTCAGTCAAAGTTACAAACATTAGGCCCTGCCGGGTAACGAACTTGTTTTCACACCGTAACATTGCCGTGCTAGTTACAAAAACTACTGTCACACTTATTCTATGCTCAGACGTCCATTTCACCCCACTGGCTTTGGTTGTTTTTTCCAGTTTCTTTTCAGTGTCCTAAAGTATGTCACAAGCACTCCCCATCCATTTGTGGCCCAAAGCTTTGGTTTAATGCACAACAACTCAACTTCTGTTTCCAGTGGTGCACATTTACCGCTGCAGCACCACCAGTTGTCTCTGGCATGGGGCATCTCTGCCCTGGCGGTGCCTGATTCTCGGCTGTGGTGGCATCTTCCTCCTTCATATGCCGTAATTCTGCCACACTGTATTCTGGCTCATATATGTAGCTCTGAATGTCTGAATGCACCAATAAAATAGTTTTCTTCCATATCTACAGGAACATTGCCTTTTGCCAGAGGTTAGGGTTAGGGTGGAGACGGGCAGACAAAAAACACGATTATACAGTCTGTGGTTCAAACAACAGCCCTGGAGCCTGCAAATGAACGGGGACCTCTGGGTGCAGGCAGTATTGGTTGGAAGTTAAACATTGCAACATTCATTTGCATATACTACCCACATTGTGATTATACAAAGCTGGTTGAAAATCTGTAAATTGAAAATAAATTGAAAACTGAAAATTTTCCCTTTAAAAAGCTGTTAAAATCAAACATTAAGCACGTCTCTTGTGATGGTTAAGGTTAAGAATGTGGGTTTAAGGGGGTTGCAAGTGAGGTGGCTTCTTGATTAGTGAGACAACTCGCTTCTCCGCCAACTTCCCTCAAACTCCCGTGCTCTCCCATCTCTCTGACGATACATAATTGCAGTTTATTACCTGTCTCTTATTAAAATGAATTAGCATTTTAATGAGACTTTGCCAGATGGCGTCTTGGTATGCTACTGGAGGATGCTGGAAGGCTGCTACTGCTGCAGAATGAATGCTGCAGACAATTTAAGAAAGAATAAATTATTGAAAGCTGTTCACTGGTTTGACAACATGGTAGTATTCATACAGTATGAATGTGCTATGTTTAATATAGGGACATTATTATGTGCAGTGTGCATGCACTTGTGATTAGGAGATGAAACGTAAGTATGTGGTTTGTATGAGCTCAAAACACAGCATGATCAATTGCTTGCAGGCTGCTAAAGGCTGGTGGTAGTGGCTGGGGAGGATCTATTCTATGGATCAGAACTGCAAATGAGGAATATAATTAGATAGCTTTATCTCACCGGCTCAGCCTGGGTTGAAAGTGTGTGTGTGTGTGTGTGTGTGTGTGTGTGTGTGTGTGTGTGTGTACGTGTTTGCTACTCACATTTTGTGATCAGAGCACAAACACATTGGTAGCGGGAAGGTGGGTGGCACTACAACATCAATGTTAGCAGCAGGGGAGGTAATCAAAATGTTGGGCACAATGTTTCGCTCATTCATTTGAGGAGGTGTTAACTCTGGAGTGGACATTGCTATCTGACTACACAATATCTGTGTGGGTGTCAAAAGGCCAGGGCTTACGTTTCCTTCCTAAACTGAGGCATCGACTTTGAACAATAGCTTGACATTTGCTTGCTACCTCAACGCAGCTCTTTTGATTTCTCTGTTTTATTGTTTGATAAAAGAGAGCGCACAACAGCTACAGGCCAACTGAAACAGAAGAATACTGGTCACTGGTGGCCACATTTTCCTCTGGGAGAAATCCATGGTGAGAAGATCCTGTTTATATGTTGAAGCTGGCAACCAGATTTGGTTATTTTTTACTATTTTAACAATTTTGTTGAATGAAATACACCAACTTTAGTTTTTGATGCATATTTTTTGCTTGAGATGCAAATACATAGCCACATATTAGTTTAAACATTTGATGATGCAAACAAATTGTGTATACATGTATACATGTTTTCCATAAGGATTTTGCTCCAATGGAAATTAAGAACTTTAAATCTTATCTACATTGCTAGTCTATATACTATATGTGACTCCGGGGGAGAATCTTTACTGCCAACATCTGAATTAGAATCAGAAATACATTATTGAGCCACAGGGTAAATTGGACATGGTTGCACAGTTAGATTATTGTACAAAATGATTTTACTGTAAAATGAAATATAAATAAATAAACAAATTATGTGGTTTCAATTGATGACAGGGGTAAAATATTTCAAAGGGCCAGTCTACTGACTCAGAGTGTCTGACACTCTGAAGGAAGAGTTGAAAAGTTTGATAGCCACAGGCAGTAATGACTTCCTGTGGCGCTCTGTGGTGCATCTTGGTGGAATGAGTCTTGCACTGAACTTGACCAGCATGCCATGAAGTGGGTGGGAGACATTGTCCAAGATGACACATAACTTGGAGAGCATCCTCCTTTCTGACACCGCCGCCAGAGACTTCAGCTCCACCCCCACAATGTCATGGTCTTGCAGATCAGATTGTTGGCTTCCTCTCCAATAGTACAATAACAAAAAACGTCATAATTTTATTGCTAATGGGTGAGCTGAGGTAGACATCATTTTTAGGTTCTGCAAAAATACACACCTTACTACCCTGGATGCTCTGAGAGCCTCACCACATGTGCGTGCTTTGGCTCAATGCATCTTTACAGCAGGGACCAGCTTGTATTTTGTCCCTGCTCTTTTCTAGCATGCAGTGTGAGCCATCCTGTCTTCATGTCTCACTGTGAAATACATTTACAGTAATAACTCAGTACACATGGCACAGACCAGAAACACTGATAATTTTATTCTCAAGCACAATTAGTGCTTTAAGCAAATTTGCAACTTTTGAAGGATGCTGAATGTACAATTTCACTTTGAGATGGTTGGATGGGGTCAAACACCCTTTTACCCAAGAGTCAAGTTTGATTTCTTTTAAACTTATGTACGTAACTCAAGTTATGTAACTTTACTTATGTAACTAACATACTTATTTTAAGCAGTGCTCTGTGGGATACTGGGGTATTCTCCAACCCTCACACTAATGGGCTTTCTCTCCCTAGGCTGCCCAAGTACTGTATGTGTGTCATTACAGATATAATGCTTTGCTCTGACACACAGACATACACACAAACACAATTTTACTGTACAGATCTAGTGACACTTTTGGACATATATAAAATATTTGCATTATCATATGGAACTTACAGAAGCTAAATCCTTCCAAGCACATGAGATAACTTGTGGAAAAAAACATGTATATATATTGTATGCTCTAAATAATCACATGCATGGGTGAGTACAGCTTCCCTTTGTATATGTAGCCACATGATGGCCACATATGAAATGCTAAAGAGCTTTCCATTCTGAAAATGTTTGACTAGAGTAAGCAATATGTATCCATTAGTGACTAAAACACAAACTGTCTCCCCTGCTAGCTGTTTGATTATAATTAAATTACATTCTTCCCCAGGGAAAGCATGAATCCTCATGTCTATGTGGTATGCCACAGAGGGAGCCAGTGACACACAACAGCATAGAGGAGCGAAACAGAGGGAATGACAAATTATAAACACGTGATTTAAATGATGGCATTAAGGAATCAGGGGATAACTGCAGAGAAAACAAACAGCAAAGAAACATTTAAATGTGCAGTAGACACCATCGCATCATGAATATTCTAAATATGCACAGCATTGCCTGATATTTACTGTATCATGGTCGTCTTCCCCAGAAACTTACTCATCCCTTATGTTAGTAATACATTGTCAGAATCAACCGAGTCCTGCTGACTGTCAGTGATGTCAGGTTTAGTGGCTGAAGAGAGAGGTAAGGAGCGCTCACACTCATCTGCAGTTGAGACCAGTCACGTGCACACATAGACATCAAGAGGGGCTTCAGCACCTGCTCTTTTTCTTCTTCAAGAGAAAGTGGGATGCTTTTTTATTTTTATTTATTTATTTATTTAAATAAAAGAATATACAGTATATTTATTCCTGTTTGCAACACATTCCCTGTCAAACAAATTTATTTATTGGAAAAAAAAAAAAAAATCTAAATAGGCTATCAGGTCGGAAGATGAGACTTCGGAGTTCTGATGCCCTCTCTCTCTTTCTCTCTTTCCCTCTCGCTCGCTCCGCATCTCACTGCGCAACCAGAGCTCAGCACGCAGCCAGACAGCAGCCCCTCCAGCTTCTCTCCCAGCAGTGTTTTTCTTGGCTTGTGTGGAGGTGAGTGGTGATGAACAAAAGACTAAACTACCAGTGCCTCGAGTTTACCGCTAATTAAACAGAAGACAATATAGGCCTAGGCCTGTGTCTTGCTAACATGTATGACTCATGAGCTGAGCTAATGTAATAAGTTAGCTGAAGTTTAGCTAAGGCAATATCTCATGGCCTTACAAGCTACAACCTGATGGAGACACTACAGGTGAACACAGTAACATTTGTGTCTAATAACGTCATCACAATCGCCACATTGATATGCAAATTAGGCGTTAACTACTAAGTCACTGCAGGTGAATGGGATAAAGAAAATAACTAAAGTATATCACCACAGAACTTCCCCAGTTAATGACTTACATCAAGAGCCGGCTATTTTCTTCTGAAATGTTCTGTGTAAATATGCAGATTAGCTTGTTTTGGTAAATAGACAATAAATCTATAGATGAAAATAGACCGAGGGCTTAAAAAATTAGGCTTAAAACCAACATCTAAAGGTGTGTTCTTGAAGTTTTATTTCCATTACTGTAAAAAGAAGACATGGAAGCAAAATAGATCAAAGTCTCAAAATTGACCACTCCATGAAAAAGTGCCTTAAAGAGTAACTTCATAGTTTTGATGGTAGGCTCCTCATCTAATAACTCTCCATTCTATTAGTTTGTTGTATGCTGATAGATCCTTATATAATACAGACAGCCTCCCTCAAATGTGAAACTAAGTCCATGTCCATCAGTAATTGTGTGTGTGTGTGTGTGTGTGTGTGTGTGTGTGTGTGTGTGCATGCGTGTGCATGGTAAATGTAATATAATAGAAACAATAATAAAGTATTTGATCAATACATTAATGTATTCAGGCAATTCAGTATTCTGTTGCTTGGCTGTGTGAAGCTGAAGGTTATCTTTGCTCATTTGGCATCTTGCTTGTGAAACAAAAAGTATTTACCTGCAGCCCAATGCCACTGTTTAGTGTGAAGATTTATGTGAAGTATTATGTATTCCAATAACACCAAAAGAATTGAAACTATTTATTGCCAAATTATTAATGAAACTATGTCATAAATATATACTTGAAACTAGTAGCATAGAAAACATGCACATTGTGGCATAGTTTCCTTTGCTGTCGCCTGCTCCTGTGATAAACCTGGTGAATACTAAAGAAGGCCGTGGTCTCTGTGTGAACTGATTATTTTGTAGAAAAGTAAAAATGTTGTTGAGTTAATATATTTGTCTTGTTTAAAAAGATGCTCTTTTTTTTCACTTGAGCCCCTGCCTACCGAAATGTCTGTGCAGGTCCCTAGTTAAGACAATGGCATAAGACAATCAGTGAACCTCAGGAGAGAGCCCCCCACATGCCCTCACTTCAACTACACTGTTTGCACTTTCACAAGTTTGACAATCTGATTTGCCTTAAGGACAGGGCAAGAAATGACTCAAGATTCTCATGTGGCATTGAAAAAAAGAGAAGAATTTCAATTATTTAGAAGGGTAAAAACGAAGGAGGCTTTTGAATGTCAAATACCAATTCAGGCAGGGAGGTTGAAGACAGGACAAAAGAGGGGAAGAATATGAACAAATAAAAAGGCTAGAAGACATCCAGACTTTGCTTGAATGAAGTCTAAATAGAGACTTGACAAACACGTAATTCCAGCTTTGTTGTCTGTCTCCCAGTGTGCTCAGAGTTGAGTCGTGTTATAATCTTTATTAAAACAATATCTTCTTTCTATCATGGCATCATTTTTAAAAACAAAACAATCGTAAAATGAGCAGAAAAGAGATGCATCAAAAGAAACTGCTACATTTGGATATTATGTATTCTGTTTACAGAAAGGATTCCAGTATAGCTTGCTTTCCACAGAATTGGAAACAATAGAATTAGTCATGATTTTTTCTCACGCCTCTTCTGCCTTGATTTCAGCTGAATTCCTGGCTGAGATCGATGTGTGTTGGGGGGAGCTGGGCTTGATGCAGTGCATAGAAAGTCATGGTTCTGATCCTGTGCTGGAGGGAATACTGGTATCCCACTCTCTCTGATATGCAAAGCTAACGTCTGGGTTTTCAAAAGAACCTTTTACACACACTGTTTGCTACTTGATGTATCTTCATCCCAAAATCAGCACCAGTGTTGCTTACAGGCAAACTCTTTTGTTAGCTTTTGGAATGTGCAATGGTACACTGTCAGCATTAAGTCAACATCATCGCACCAGCTTCTGAAAACCGTCTGTTTTTTTGGGGGGGTGGGGGGGTTGTTTTGTTGTGCCCAGGTTTCTCTCAGATGGACATGGTGAAAATGAGAGACATGCACCACAATTCCACAACTAGGGAACCTCTGCCACACTGAGGCATGCTCCCTGAATATCAAGCACTGATAATGAAGTCATTTGTTTGAGAGTTGCCAGGTCTCCCACCAAGGCTGGTATTCATTAGTTACTCAGCGCCTCAGAAAAGGCAGCTTCCCTCTGACTCATGCAGAATATAATTAGCATTTCAGTAAATTTCACCTGTTTATGAGATGTGTGACCATATCTTGAAATTCTTTATTTATTGCTTTTTAGGTTTCAAAATGATCACAGAAGATGAAACAGCTCTGTTTTATCCCATTACCTTAGTTAAGAAAATTAATTTGCATGGGCAAGCTATGTACCGCATCCTTTTGCTGTATACTGTGTATGTGTGTGTGTGTGTGTGTGTGTTTCATGGCTTGTCAGTCTTGCTATACTGCTCTGGTAAAATTAACAGTGTCTCTGAGAAACTGCTGTACTAAAAAAAAAGACTACATGAGAGAAATAAAGCTGCATATTCAGTTGGAAGTTTTACAGACAGAAGGCTTTTGTAAACCACAGAGGAGGCAGAATTCTGACTCCTGTGACAAATTGCTTTCTTCTTGCTGCCATTGACCCCAGACCTCAAGACTCACACTTGTATGTGTATGCATTTGACAACTTTGTGGGTGTGCATCTGGGCCTATTTGTGTGAAAGACATCAATGATACAGCTTACCATTGACAGTGAGAGAAACCTCCTTCTCCCCTGCTCCTACACGCGGGACCACAGCACGGCAAACATATTTCCCAGCATCCTCCTGTCTCACGGATTTCAGTGTCAGGAGGTTCTCGTTGCTAAGAACCTACGGCAAAAAAGTCAAAGATCATCAAATGCAATGACAGCAAAGGCATCTTCGCATTTGAGATAGCAACAAGCAGTGCTATGGGAAAAAAAGGCAGCACGTGGCACATATAATACCTTAAAGGGCACCTCTCCTCAATTATTAAAATCCAATTTAGGGTCTGGGCTCAGTGGAAAAAATGGGTTGGCTTTGGCCTTTGATGTTGACAAAAGGAAAGGTGAAATGAAACTGAATTTGTGGATCAAATGTGAGAGTAGATCACATAGAGGCTTGGGCTAAAATGGCCTAAAAATCTTAGGTTTTAATGGACATTTCAAAACACATGGCTCTGACATAAAATAACCGCCCAAAGTACTCCATATAGGTCACAGAGGTCCTGGAATCATAGAATGCATCAAATACATGCTTTATTAGGGAAAAGCAGCTTTGAATCTATTGTAAGCAGCACTGGACTGATTATCTGGCCAGCACACCTAGGGGCACCATTTTCTACAGTGACACCAGGCTGGCCCAATCACATCTCTTAATGGGCTAGCCCCACAACTCCTCCTCTGTTCTCTCTGCATCTCATGTCCAATGCAGTGGTTCTGGCTCAGAGCCAAACATTTGTCATACAGGCACAGGTGGAATGAGGAGAGATGGCTGGCCATGTGAGAAGCAGACATGTGAACGGGAAGCCGAGGAACAGAGTGACCAAGAGGATGTAGTTGAAGCGGTAAGTGGGGAGTAACATGCAGGCAAACAGGGACACTGAGGGAGGGCGCATGGATGTTGTGCGTTCAATGATGAATGATGATTAATTCAATTAATGAAGGTAAAAATAATCTTGGCATTGTTTTTGTAGGAATAGTAAGTACACATATTTAAGGGGACCACAAGGATATTTTACTGGGTGGCTAAGCCAAAAATACCAGGGCCAATTTTTCGTCCCAGTCTAGCCTGGATTGTAAGCCACAGTGTGTGACTGTTAAAAAAATCATACTTGGTAGCAGTGCAACTCAGTATACTCACCACTCCAGATCCCCTCTTCATCCACACTATGGTAAGAGAGGGATTTCCTGTCCAGGCACAATTGAACACAGCGTCAGATCCAAGGTCCACCTGCAAGGACTGAGGCTCCGCTGCCATGCGAGGACCAACTGTTGAAATAAACACCATTAACTGTCTACAATACATCCAAAATGAGGCATCGGCTGCGGTGGCACCAGCTCTTGGAGCTCAGTGTCAAAATATACAAGACAGTAAAAATCCATAACCATGCATTATTACGTTGCTGGCATTACTGAAAGGCATGCAGTATTGCTTAAGGAGATACTCACAGTAGACATCAACATTACGGCTAATGTTGGTGCTGCCAAGAGGGTTGGTAACCTCGCAGGAAACAGGTTCTGTAAAGAAGGAGTGGTCCACAATAACCTCATATGTGTCTCCAGAGACCTCCTTGATTATACTTCCTCCTTTGGCCCACCTGGTGAGAGGATTAGAAGGCAGAGAAAAGAGAGACGGTGTGAAATGAAAAAAGAAGGAAAAGGGGAAAAGGCATTGAGACAGGTTTTCACACATCCTTGTGTCAATAGCATTCTTTTGTGTGAATAAATCATCATTCTGGGGCAGGTTTTCTGTGCTGGCTTCAGCATATTTTTGTGGCAGCCCTCCATGCTGTGACAAGCTCCCTGGCGACTCGGAGCAGACAGCACGTTCCTCATTACACCAGGCAGAGAGCGCAGCACAGAGTGCCAGAAAGAAAACAAATCACAGAATGACAAATGGGTAGCTGCCCCCACCTATGAAGATGTTAGTTGACACATACTGTATTACACACACAGCTGATGTTAATAAATTGACACGGGATCACATAAAGAACATCTGTTTGTGTTTGTGAATGATGAGCTTCTTTGACAGGGATACTGACACTCCCCTCGTGTTTAGGTGAGGCTTTTATGATGTCACAGGCAGCGGTGTCTCGCTCTGCATGGTGTGGATGGCTCTCTGCTGTTACAACAGACAAGGCCCATTTATAAAAGTGAGGTGAAGGCATCTGTGAATGTCTTGGGTGTCTTTGGAAAATTTAGACGGTGCTGTGGGACACACAATGTATCACGCATCTAAACGCTGCCATCCTCCACAATAGAGATGTGGCTGCATGCTGATGTGGAAATGAAAACAATGACAACGGAACCGGAGCCTGTCTCCATTTTATATTCCTGCCAGTACTGAGAGCAGTTTTCACGGGATAGGGAACTCATTTGTTTCCCATGACTAAGCTGGCCCATGCTTGACTGAAAAGCTATCATTTAAATGAGAACAGATTACCTCATTCAATCGGTAAGTGAAGTGAAGCAGAATTCTAATTGAGCTTCATGGGACTTTTTCTTTTTACAGCAGTAGATCTTTTCAGAGTTGCGTTCTTGTGTGACAATGATTCTGCTACACCTGTGTTTCCAAAAATGTTGAAAATAGGGCAGACGGGTGTTTTTGGCCTGTCTGATCCAGGGGTGATATAGGTAGGCAGTGTCTGTGTGTGTCAGCAGGTATAAACAGATGCATACCCTAGATAGCCTTGGGACAGAATAGAGTATACACACTTTATATTCTCATTCTTTGGGTAACATCATATCCCCAAAATATTAGCACAGGAAATCAAGTGTTTGCTACATATTGAAAAATTAAAAGAATATGAAAACCATTATGTTAATGAGGATGACTGTTGATGTTCATAGCAGTGTGTCGTTGAATATGAATACCATTATGAATGTTTCCACTGCTGTTTATACGACGATGACGATGATATTAATTACATTGGTGACGGTGCTGGTAATCATGATCAAGACCATGATTAGGATGATGACAACAATGATAATGATGATAAGGATGATGATGTTGACGACGACGACGACGATGACAACAAGATGACGATGCTGATCATGACATGAATTACACTGGTGGTGAGTTTCAAAGTTCACTCTTGCTCTTGGCTTTGAAAAAACAATCTGTCCCGAAGGTCAATTCAATAACTGTTCTGGAGTTTTCAGTCATATAAGATTAATTTCACCAGCAGATGGAATAATACCACTTTTTAAAATTTCCATTTTCTTCCAGAGCACTTAAAGGTTGAGTTCATGGCTCTTGGAAACAGCAGCTGACAAAACAATCACTCCTCGGGGTCCATTATGTAGCTTGTAACAAACAGTTAACAAATAGTAAAAAGTGCTCCGAAGATGTGAAAATTTAAATATATTCATTTCTTAATGGGACCACATCTCCAAAGTGGAGGATTTGTCTTTATTAATTCGGTAACACAATGTCATGAAAATATGTCAGCCATTTCCTTTTGCTAAGATTGTGAGATGGCTGCCATCTTTGGATAAATTTTTATTGGCAGCTATAAAACCTACACGCAACAACTTGATTCATTTAATTTAATTCAAACATCTGCATTTCTATGACAACTGGGTCAAACTCCATCTGCTGATGAAGATCAAGTCTTATGATTAAAAGCCCTGAAACAGCTACCTTTAGGAGAGCTTGGTCTGTCATTCACAGGTGATGGTTGTGATAATAATGATGACAACAGTGATGCATATATGTCAAAATGTGACTGTTTCCAAACAAGCATTACTAGCCCATACTGTAGGAGTTGTAACGGGGTAAGCACAGATGTTTGGGCAGCCGGCTGCTCCCGAGTGGAGGTTGGGGCTGCCAGGTATGGGAGCCCTTGACAGGGGAGACAGAATGCCGTCGTCCGCAGGGAGCATAGGAGCTCCGTTGGTGTGCTGGGCCTTGTCCAAGACTCATGTCTAAACATAGCTTGCCCAGGGTAACACAAACACCTGCATTCCCTTTGGGAGGTTAGAAGGGCCAGTACACGCTTACTCAATAGCTGACTCACTTTACACTGCTGTATCCTATTCAGGGATTTGATTCAGACAAAGGGTGTGAGTCCTGTACACTCCACTGTCTGTGTGTCTATGAGTGTAAGCACACGTGCGTACAAGGTGTGTGCTTTTGTGTGTGCATGGGTCTATAAGCTAATACAGTTATACAGATAAATAGGTCTGCCGTTAATGGAAGCGGAGGATGAAGGAGACGTGGAAGGGGGGAGAGTTTTGTATTTGCTGAATGTGATTAAAGCAATAAAACAGTAACAATTAAATTAGGCAGGTATCTGTGCCATCAGCATCTAGACCCAGAGTAAATCAGGCCCCACAGTTATTATCAGCATGGTTAAGCACAGCACAGTGCAGTTTCATTCTCACTTGCATGCATATTGAAATTGATGACTGTTGAATTCTCGGTTGCATATAAAATAAATATGCAGGTTTGGTAATAGCTGTTTGATTTTGATGGACATAAATTACAGAGGAATTAGATAGTATGTAAGCTGTACAGATAAGTACAAATATGTATACTATTTATTTTAAAATTAAGACAAGTGACATGTCGGCTGTGCCATTCAACCTGAAAACAAAGTAGGGATAATCCCGGAAAGTTGGGGATAACCTAAAAAAGTCAGGAAGAACCAATTTAATGGGGTATTCTGGGGACTTTTTGTGTTAGATATCCCTAGTATTTTTCCTTAACTGTTCAGAGTAGTGGCAAACTTTCTGGGGTTATTACAGAGTTTTTATCTTTAGTCCTAACTTTTCAGATTAATTTCCATCTCGTCAGGGTGGCATTGATTTGTGTGTTTGCAGTAACGGTGCACATTAATCTAAGCCATAAATTACTGAACCAATTAGATTTCAGGTGTTGCACTGAGGCACTTATTATTTTAAATAAAGTGACACTATAAAATGACTTTCACACATTTTAAGTATGGCTGGCTGCAGCTAAAGCAGGCATAAGAATGTTGAAGGGAATGGTAGCCTTGTCCAGAAACAGACAGTCGCATGTATCAATTAGCTACCTCCAAGGTTTGCAAAGATGGAAGGTATGGTGATTGTGCTGTCAGTCAAAAGCAAACAAACAATCCAGCAGTAGCAACAACAGCAACACTGAGAGTATAAGTGTGAGGAGGATTGGGATGTTATTTGCTGCAGTGCCATGGAAAGGAGGGGGGTCTTGTTATCACTCTGTGCATGGTTGTATGTGCAGTCGAGGGACCTGATTTGCCTTGTTTATTATTCTTTCTCTACTCTCTGGTGGGTTCTTGTTTGGATCTGAGTAAACCCTCTGTGTCTTCATCAGAGGGTGGCTGAGTGATTGTGATATATGCCAGTTAGCCCTCCCATCATCATAAACAGTCATAAAGATGTTCCGACCCACTCGTCTGTCCCTCTCAGACAGTGCTGATTCCCTGAGAGCGGACTAAAACACATGCCCATTACTCTTACTTCTTTCTCACTTTCAGCCCCACTTTCATCTTATCTTCCAACCGGCGCCTTCACACAAAGTCCTTTCCAAATGCCCTGACATTTTCCTTCTCTACTGTCCCCTTGAGCTGCTTTCTGGAAAGGGTTCAGGTATATGTAGAAATATATCCTAATTCAATTTTCAGGTTTAAAGTCAGATTTATTGGTGGGACAATCACGGGGGGGTGTAGGCAGCAGAAAGCACCATGCCTTTGACTACTGCCCCCACTATCTTGGGTCTGTGTCTCAAGTGTCCATTGAATTGGAGGATGGAAAAGTGGTGCTGTGCACATTGGGAATGAATGGCTCACTTGGGGATGGAAAAGAGGCCATCCGTCTAAGAACTACTCTGTCCTTGTGCCGTATCTGATCTGGAGTAGACAGAGTGTATTAGCACTGAAAAATGGCCCCACACTGCTTGACCAGCTTCCTGCTCTCCTCTGTGATATTGCTCTCCAGAGGGGGAATTTGTGGGGGGCTCTCCCTAGTCAAAGCCTCTCAGGCAAGCATTATGAGGCCCAAAAATCCCTTGAACGCCAACGGTGCACAGAGTCCTGAAGCACTTGTATAAATTGCAGATAAATCTAAATGGGAGACTATGAAACTGGAGAACTGGTGGAGAGTATAACCTTGAAGTATCAAACGTTATTAGTCGGTGTGGATATTATTTAATCCCACAGTGGATTGGGTCAATGACAGAGAGCCAGACAGCAGAGACAAAGTGAGAGAGAGGAGAGAGAAGGGGAGAAATAAATTACATAGTGGGAAAGTGGAAGTTTTAGTCTCTTTTAGCTTCAACCTCCAACCTTTTTTTCATTCTAAAACTAAAAGAAAAATTCATCTCAACTGCCATTGTATCTTAGTGTTTGATCCCCTGGGGAGAAGTCTGATTCTAGCATTGATTTGGCCTCATAACAATGGGGGTGAAATCCCTTTGCAGGTGCAATAGACGTCCTGTCTATGCTGTGCACCTACACAATCAAATACAAACTTTGTTTTCCACAATATCACTGCCCTCCCTGCTCCTTTTTTTTTTCAAAAGGCCAGAATCCATCAAAAAGGCAACATCTCTATTTTGCCACCTGTGAGTGTGTTGTACATCCATTTCATTTCCCAGTAACATTACAAGATTCAGAGCTGACCAATTCCCTTTGCTATCGATTTCATTCCATTTACTTTTTGCCGGATTTTTAAAACCTCCCACACAGAAAACCACCTCTTGACAAACCACTTCAGTATTATACTTCCAGAGAGCGACGCAGGATTTTTAGAGAATAATTACTGTCCATTTTGTTGTTTCATCACAGCTACAGATGTAGTGAGAACGAATGCAAAATTGATTCTCTTGTTGTCAAAAGGAAGGCTTTTTTGTATACCAATTGTTGTCAAAAGGAAGGCTTTTTTGTATACCAATTAATTTGTCTATTTTGTTGCCTTTTCTTTTTTCTTTTTGGTTGAACTTGATTTGATATGTGCCAGGTTATATTTAATCTGCAACTGTATTTTTCAGTGGGATTGTGAATTTGGATATCAACATATGACTGTCATGTAGGAATGCAGTTTGTGTCCCTTCACGATCCAACAAGCAAGTTTCAAAATGATATTTTTAAACTATTACCCACAACCTTTCTCTAACGGTAACCAAATGTTTTAGTAACCTTAACCATAGCTTGCCATAAAAACAATCTTTTTCTAACCTTAACGATGGTGTGAGGCACAGATATTGCAGAAATTGTTGTTGTTGATATTGTTGTTGAATATCAACATTCTCTGTGGCAGGGGTATTCAATTAGATTTCAAAGAGGTCTAGTTAGAGAAAATTTCCTGAAGCAAAGGTCCGGAACATCAAAACGACGAACTTGCGTTATCATTCAGTACTATAACCTATAGTTGTATCAACACATGTTTTTAGTCAACAACGGACTGTGAAATCAAATAATAGTCAGTTTTCACATCAAACTGGAGGGATAATAAATAATAACTATTCAAATAATAAATTCTAAATTTAAGTAAAGTGCCAAATTTTTTAGAAAAAATGTAATAAAAAGTGTAGCTTGAAGTGATGAAGTGTAGTCTTAACCAATTTTATAATAAACACTCAACACATCATAACAAATGAACAGCTGTAATGCCTCCTCTTCTCTTTCATTTCCTCTTACAGAGCTACCACTTTCCTACTTTCTGTTGTTCAGTGAGAAACGTGAGCTCCAGCTAGCATGTTGGAGATCTATGAGATATTCTGGTTTTGAACTGCCCGTGGGAGGAATGTACATGTAAAAATCTGTACATTCTTGATTAAAAGTCATGTGAAATCTCTTTTATCTTTCGTCTCCTCCATTCGGGTGTGTTTCCAAAACGTCTCTGGTGAATCTCGCGGACTCGCAAGCATCGGTATGCACAGATTTGATTGGCTGAGCAGCGTCACATGAGACGATTGGAGCACATGCGATTGGTCTGTGAGTTTCCTGGTCCTCTAAACCAGTACAGTAAATGCTAGAAAAGCTGCGCGGGTTAAAATAGAAACGCTCCGTCACGAGGTAGTAAGTCTCAATAATAAATGGGCTGTAGGTCGGCGGTCCGGAGAGGACGGCGGCTGGGTCCGGATCCGGACCGCGGTCCGCCTATTAGTGACCTCTGCTCTATGGTAATAAATAATAGGGTTGTTGAATACCTGTATGTAAAAGGTCAAGTAAAATGTCATCCAAACATGTATTGATGCACTATTAGGAAACGTGCAAATGTGTTTTTTGCGTACAGAGGCTTCAGCATTGAAAGCCTCACATATTTTTTGCTATTACAATTTAAAGTTAAAATGAACTGAAATTACTTTTTTTTGTCAACAACCCTCACTAAAAACATGTTTTCAAAACTGTAAGCAAACTTATTGAAAATGAAATAAAGACTGGATGGGACTCACCCACATTATGAAGGGTAATCTTTAAGTTGGAAATTGATTTTCTCTGGCAGTCACTGAAGAACATTTTTGTAATGCTATTATATTTCCCAAATACATTATTTTCCCAATTGTGTCTTTGGAACTTTAGAAAAGCCAATAGTGGTTCTAACCACACTTAGGTCTCTATGTACTGCTCAGAAATATCCCTCATTCCACATCGCATTAGGAATGATGTGTGATAAGATGGGCCCATCAAATAGCTCTTTTGTTTGCATTTTGTTGAATTTTTTTTTATCAGAATAAAGTATATTTTTCTTTGTTTTTCTGTGGCTTTTTTAATTAACTCTGATTTGTTTAATCTGCATTGAGTTTAATTCTTAAGAAATATTTAAATCCTAAGAGTGACTCTCAGAGTCTTGGTTATGTTTAATAAATGACCAAATCTTGTGAGAGCGAAGATTTGTGTTTTCATCCTTCCTCACAATAGAGCTTCTATCTTCTCCCATTTTTGGAATATTGAAGTCATTCAAAAATAAAATAAAATACAATAAAACAAAATTAAATGCCAAATTCAACCAGTACTGTATAACACACACATAAAAACAGCCGACACCTGGGGGGAAACCTGCCTTTCTATTGTACACTGTGGAGCACAGCCCAATCTTAGAAGCTTTAATCTTGACAGCTTCATCAGATGTCATGCACATTAAGTTTCCAGCTTCAAGGGAGATGATATGACCACAAACCAAACAGCTATGCAACAAAGCACTGCATTGCTTTGGTGCAACCCAGTGGAACATGACAAGGTTTCCCCAATGATTTTCCTGAGGTGTATTTTCATTAAAAATTTCAGCATGACAGTGTTTCATTGTTGTTCTTCTCATAATGTTAAATAACGGGCAGATATAATGGTGTCATGGCATCATAAGAAGGCGTCTGGCAATGGTATCAAGTGAAAAAGTGTTCATTTTGATTGAATTTGCAAACACATTATCCACCAGTAACTCTAATTAGAGAAGATCTCATTTAACGTTCATTTTACCACATTTTCTTTCTGTTGTACATTACAGGATCATTCATTTGTGACTTGTGCGTGTGCTCTAGAAACACTTCTTTTTCTATGGTCTCACCTGTAGAGTGTGACAGGAGGATTGGCCTTTGCAGAGCAGTGGAATTTCACAAGGTTTCCTTCCAGAACAGGCTGAGGCTCCACTGAGAGATTGACATGGGGGAGATCTAAAAAACACAGAAACAACCAATTACAGAACTGGCAGCCTCCTCAACAGCCCAATATGAATAACACACCAATGTCTTAAGTAATTTTTGTTTGTTATCACAATGCCTTTTTAACTTTTCGCATGTAATTTTGCGTTTAGACTGTAACTGCAAATTTCAAGTGACGTATTATAAAGAGCAAAAAAGTCAGTCTAGGGATGAAATGTGGAAGGGTATAGGAGTCAAACAAACAGAACTGTCACCCAGGAGGCCGCTGTTTGTTTCCTGTGTGAAAACAAAAGTCAGTGATGACTTATTTTAACTTACCTATGTAATGTAACTTATGTATTTAACTTAATATACTTATTTTAACCCAAACCATGTTCTTTTCCTAAACCTATCCAAACTTGTTACCATGATGACAAAGGTCACCTGACCTCGTCCTTATTTGCAGATCCAAAATTCATGACATGTATGAATCTGTAGCTGTGTTAAATGACACGCATGGATGACAAACAAATGCCCTGCTTTTTTATATCATGCTGTCCTCAAACATCCTGTAGTGACAGTAACAGTAACCCAGAGACAAACTATGTTGTAAGGTTCCAAAAATAAACATGGCACAAATTTTTGCAAAGAAAACTAAATAGAGGCCTTATACATTTTTTTTAGAAAACATGCAACCTAAAAAGAAAACAGGGAAATTAAATTCTCAGGTTTATGTAAGGGACCCAAAACTGATTTGACATCCTTTTATGTAGCTGTATGACACATACAGTATTGTAGGTAAATATGCTCCACTTAAAACAAGTCTCTGTATAAGGCTTATTTTACAATACACTGTAGTAGCACTTACAGTTTTGACAGTTTATCACAGTTTTTGGCAGAATTTTCTCCTAAATAATAGGCAATTACTCCTGAATAATTTGAAGCCCTATTTTTTATCTTACTGCCACCCACCTAGGGGTCTAGGCCCAGTTCCTGAAGTGTATTTCACAGGTGTGGGAGAGAACATCCTATCTTTATTCTCATTAATTCATTAGCAACGTTATAAGGGGTGAATCAAAGGAAAACTTGACTTGATAATGAGTTTCAGTAAATGGCAATTACTGGCAATGACAAATAGTGAGTAGCCTATAGTGCAATCCACTGCAATTAAACAACCTCAGTGATACAGTATAATTAAAACAGTTGTTAGAATAACATGCATACAGATAATGCAAATTTAATAAACAACTTCATTTATCCTAATTGACAAAGGTGGGATTCTTTTTGAAGATACGTGTAATTTCCATATCAGTCCTGTTCCATGTGAAACAAACCCCACAGACTCAGACAATGAATTTCAAGTAGGTTATTTTTTTGTCAAGGTTTCTAAAAAGAGGTTTCGTATATTTTATTCAGAGCTACAAATGCAGCAAGGGAAAATTTATCCATCTGACCTACAGCTGGCCGGTAGTGTATTTCTAATGTTTATGGAAAATCAGGTGTAGGGAGGGGTCCTATTACAAAAATTATGAGTTAGCTTTCAATGAATCCAAATATTTTCACATTCTGCTTGATGGGAGCACATTTTTATTTTCTCATTTTAACTCTCTAAAGGTTTTGACACGGTTGGCACTGAATATGAGTGTGAATTCATATATATTCATAATTAATATTTGACTCTACCTTAACAGCATAAAATAATACTGAAAAAAGAAGAAAAAAAAACATTTTACATTATGACCAAGTCAGTTATGGCCATAATAGGTAACTATTTTCTGAGATGTCACTTCCACAGACTCAAGTTTTGTGTCATTTTGTGGTACCAGTAGCACACTAGTAAGGCATCATGGACAGTACATTAGTCACAGCGGGAAATAGCTGGTTCTGGGCTTGATGCTGGTGCAGCCATCTGTATTAAAGGTGTACTAAGTATATCTGCTTTGTGTTCAAAATACTAATGTACTAACCAGGGACTGTGTTAGATGTGGATGAAGAGCAGTGTTGGGAATCGACATCCACACAGAATTAAAGAAGCACACAAACACTGCTGTAATGAAGTCATGGAGAAGCCAATGGAGAGTGATTCTGTGTGTGTGTGTGTGTGGGGGGGGGGCATGAAGGGTAGGAAAACTGCTTTTTTACCCTGTGGCTGTGCAGATGCTCTGGGCTGGCTCAGCTGCCACAAAGCCCCAAAGAAGGGGGTGGTCCAGGTGCCGTATTCCTCCTTACTCACACACACCATATTCCCAATCAGCAGACTTATTTCCCTCCTAGAGTGTTTCCCCCACCCCTCACCAACCACTGTACCACCTTCAAATCCATGAGCTCCAACTGTGCCAGTTCACCCCAGGCCAGTAAAGAAAACAACAACATTGTGGATCCTGGAAGACTGAATGCCACAATGAACCAGCAAGCCTCTCCAGGTATTGAGAAGCCAACTGCTTGTCTGTGTATTTGCATGTGTAGGCACATGTTAAAGGGGTATGTGTGCATATGAAAGGGCATGTGGGTGTGTGTTATAATAAAACAGGAAACCTATCCATGCTTCTAGCAGCAGTGTTAGCTGCCCAGCAGGGGTTTTTAGCATTGCAAGTGCTTGGTTAATTGTGTGGACAAAAATGTGGGCAGAGGGAACCTTATGGGCAAAATGACAGATGTGGCAGTGGTGGAGGTGGTAATAAAATCCAGCAAGAAGCTGGAGAGTAAAGAGAGATGCAGACACAAGAAGAAAGATTTGGAGGTGGTATCTGTGCTAATAGACAGTAAATGTGTAAACACTAATTGGACAAGTCAAATTCACAAGTCTTTTTCACTAAAAGTGTTCCTATACTCTACTTTTCAATCACGCCAACCTTTTTCTTTAGTCTTACCGCCAAAAGACTTCTAAGGACATACATGCTCATTACTATCAGTCTGGTTACTAACTAATGTCCTTTTCAAATCGTTGAGGCATAAAAACTCACCTCCCTTAAAAAAAAGACCCCTGTGCCTCTCAGCAAGAGGTAATGTCATGATGACTTTCCATCTATTTCTAAGTCAGACGAGCAATTTGTTGAATAGTTCCATCTCCCCAAAGAAATACAAGCAAAGACAGCCATGGGAGCAATAGCTGTCAAGTCTGGGCGTTGGGTGTGACTCAGAGACTGTCACTTCCCTAACCTTTGACCCTTCATATATGACAGACATCTACTTAATAAAGAAGTCCATTGCCACTTTGATGTATAAATGCATAAGTTGCTGAGCAACTGAATTAGAGGCATCATGGCACATAGATATTTGATATGGTTAAGTCCTCAGACTCGTCAAGAGAGTCACAGGGAGGGAACGGGGATAGTAGGACTGATCGGAGCGCTAGTGAAAACAGGATGAATGGCGGGGGGGGGGGTATTATTATAGTTGGCGGATAGTTTTTGATTGGTTAGTTCAAAGTGGAAACCAGATGGTGTTTTTGGAACAATCTTCCTACTTCTCTCTGTTTCCTGAAAATAGTGCCAACATAAATAGTTTTCCCCTTTCTTAAAGCTCAATCTCCAGTCTCTCCGGGTCACCGTAAACAGCTGTTATCCAGGAGGACAGGCCTCAAACTCCAGGAGTGTCGGCTGTCTCTGAAGAATGGGGAAGCTGTGTGCGGGCCATCCGCTTGTGGCTTATAGCCTTAGCAATATGGGCACACCTTCTTGTAGCTGGCTGAGTGGAGTACTTGAGGGGAGAACAGACTGACTGAGAACCCGAGGTCCAGCATATTGATTATAGGATATTCAGCCATGGAACAGCAAACAGTTTACTCAGTTGAATGAAGGCAGATGTTCTGCTATTCATACAGCAGTTCCAATCAGGAATGCTGCATTCCTTGCAGCCCTCTGTCTACATATGTGCATGTGCATCAACGTTTTGTTACTGATCCAATCAAAAGATAGTAGATAAAGCTTAGGTTAGAGCATCAAATAGACCTTCAAGGCACTGGATGTGTGATATTTAGAAATGTTTTCACACAGCAAACAATAACATATGAGATCACATGAGATAAATCCATATTGCAGCATCATTAGAGCTTAATCTAATGTTCACAAAATCCTGAGCATTTTATTTCCCCCTTATCCTTACACTCCTTCATCTCACTTTCAAATTCTGTCTTCTGCCTTCAGATGAATTTGCCATTATCTGCTTGATTAAGCAGGGAGAGCATGTAGCTGCTACCAGAAACAAATCCTCCCCAATTGCACATCTGCATGTTCTTTATTAATTAGTCTCAACAAATGGCATTCATTTTCCTCCCACATGGCTCAGCTTGTTTGCAATGCAAACACATGGAGAACCTTGGCTTGGCTCGTCCCTAGCGCATTTATTTCCCACTACGTGTTTGAAATGTGGGGCAATGTTCTGCAGATATGCAGCTGGACTAGAAAATATTTGAGAAATATTTTAAGTTGTGTGATGAGTGAGATTCAGCGGGACATGAAACTGTGGCATCATATTCCACTGCAGTGGTTTTATGCCGGGGGTAGGGTAGTTTACTGATTAAAGTCCAAAGGGCATAATGCAAGTTAAGTCATGTTGCTGGAAAAAAACGGCATCAGAGGGTAGCCACCCCTCTGTTATCAAATAATTACAGTCTGCTAATGGACTGGTATGGACAACTGAAGTCAGCAGTCTATCCAGGTTTCTGAATCAACTCTGTTAGCTCTAAATCCTTCTCATTTTGGCAACATCACCAGTACATACTGTATTTAGATGCTAATTTGTCTAACCCTAGGTCAGATAACTCTGTATGAACTTCTGTGGGAAAGAAAATGCTGAGGTGGATGTAAATCATGAGCATTAAAGTGATGATAAAATAAAATACTGTTGTAAAATGCATTGGATTCTAGGCTAGTTTAAGCTGTAGAGCAATGTGCTGGGTTGTGTTTAGATTACTCTCATTTGGATTGCTATAAGGATGGAGCAGAGAGAAAAAGGGCACCTAATCTAAGAGGTGAGCGGAATACGAAATGTTGAGAAGGTCAGACAGACTGAGAAGATTTTAATTACTTTTGTTGCCATTAATATTATCTCACTAATACAGTTATTGGATATCTCTGGGCAGGAAAATAAATAAGACTTTTAATTCTTAATATTGGAACGTACACACAAAGAGACATGCAATGAGAAATACCAGCATGTATTCAGAGAGTGTAAATGCTCAGTGAACATTATCCACAGTTTCAGCAATGCACAGCCACTGTGGGGAATGTGTTTATTTGCTGTCTTACTGAGAGTTAGATGAGAGCATCAATATCAATTTCATCTCTGTGCGTTCAATACAGAGCTAGTCAAAAAAGTTTTTAAAGCATTAACCCTGTATTCAAAAGCTGTCCACTCATAATTTCCTACTTCAAATTAGGAAAAGGAAAACAAAATGACGCTTGAAGCTCATATGACTGTATACTTTGGAATCATCAATCAAATATACTTTTTAGCATGGCAAATTGAACTGGGAAAAGTGTACTTAGATCAGAACAGTCTAGCCTCAGTGACTTACTGTATCCAAGCCTCACCAGGGTCACACTTAGGCTAATAGCATCTGTTCACCATAGACTGCCATTAATCCCTCCATCTTGGTTACGGGACCAGGGCACATTGCAGCACCACTTATAAAACATGTGTTTGCCAGGCATGCAAAGGAACATGACATCTATGGAATTTATTATTTGCATTAAACATGGCAACCAATTATGACAATTCTTACATGTGTGGAAAACTCAATTATTTTTGGCATCAAATTTATGTGTAAAATATTGATAACAATTATTTTTATCATTATTTTGCCTTTTTTTCTCAAAAACTTTAACCACCCTTTTTAATTATCTATCTAAACATGGAAACAAGACAATTCATACATTTAAATTATAATTCACAATTTAAATGTAAAGTTTGATAGCTCTACATACGTGGATGGCAATTGTTCATGTTTAGTATGTGTCACGGCAGGAAAAACACCAACTTCACTCACTACCTTTAGAAATTCTGGGTTTAGATTTTTTCAGTTTTAATATTTCTAATGAGTTTTTTGTTGGCACCCGCAGTACCAAATGACAAATTCAATGATGAATTCACTATCATTAGTATGCTTATCTTGACCAAAGAATATAGATCCACAGATGAAGGCAACATTTTGTTGTTCACAGCATTGTAAATCACAGAACAGAAAGTACGTGCACAACTAAACTACACTGTCATTCACAGTTGAAAACTCTTTGCCTATTACAGTTTATGAGTGCATCTACATGTTGAGTGATGAACATGTGAACATGAATGGCATTAAGTTGTAATTAACCAAAACTAAGTAGCACACAAACAGACTTCAGTGTGATAGAAGTCACAGGAAAATGTTTGATGATTTCCAACTTAACAAGAACCATTTTGTGCTGAACATTTTGTATATTAGTACTGGCCTGTCTACTGGCTACATATTTAGTTCTAGAAGCATTTAACACTTCCAACTGGTATGAACCACTGTTGTTACATCCTGACATGTGACTGGTTCTTGCTGCTGGATAGAAGGAACGCTGAAGCACAATTGTAAAAAAGAGATGGTCTTGTCACATTCATTTCACAAGCTGACACGTAGTGCCTGAAGGAACTATTGCCTTGATAGGTAGGGTGATGGCTTTCACCTTCTCTGAGAAAGGCTCACTAGGAGAGAAGTATAGTGGGCAGAAGAAACAGAGGTTCAGTTTCTGTTTGTCCTGCTCCACAGAGTTAATACATGCTCTCCTGTCTGTCTCCTTCTATTGCCCGACAGTGGTTGTTGACTGCACAATGATAGGATTTAGATTTGTTTATTATTGTATTTTTATCATTAATGAATGATTAATGAAACTCTTGGAGATTATTGAATTATCTAGAAGTCTTATTTGGTTCACACTGGCCTTTAGATTGTTTAAGGACTCACCTTTGTAGGCTGCACCCTTTGGAGGATCCAGCACCTGAATTAGGACACTGCTTATGTGTGCTGCCTCCTCTGTATAACAACATCAGCTTCCCATCAATATGTATCACTAGGTTGCTATACAGCAATGCCTTTAGAGGAGAATCACTTGTGTATGTCAGTCCTATCCAGACCTGTGGATGGCCTGTGGATGGCTTGTTTCATATGCTGCCTGGTCCTTAAAGAGATGGACATCAAGTTTTATCTGCTACCGTTCCCCTTGCCAGTGTTGCATCATGTATTCGTCTGTTTTTATTGTTACAGAAAGACTGGGTACCACATGTACTTCTTTGCAACGTGTGTTGCATTCAAATTTAAGTGCTTTCTGTATTTCCAACCTCACAAAACTCCATTCTCACAAGATCATCATAGTAAATGGAATTTTATCACTTCATCTGGATAGCAAACATACACTTACATGTGAACAATCACAGGAAACACAGCTCTAAAGACCTTCGTTTACAATTCAGAAAATGCAATTGAAATCTGAATACATAAGCACATGTCAGTAGACCTCTATTTAGTGTTTAGTGCACATGTCTGAACACTTTACAGTTCCGTGTTTAGCTCAAAGCGCATATACAGTGAACATCTGCACCATTGCTTATATTTTTGTATTTTTTGTTTAAAAAACATGCAGTGTTTCAGATGCTGTTGTTGAACCAAAAACCTTGTAATCGAATTAGGCAGCATTGAAATTAAGCAAATTGATACCCAACATGAATGAATCAAAGTTCAATTACAGCACGTTTCATTTCAGGAGCAGCTTAATTTGGAAGTGGATCTTAGCACAAACTCCGGAGGCTCTGCTGAACAGTGCTGAACATTTTACCTGTCAAGTCTAGGCAGGGGGTGGGGGAGTGAAAAGGAGCAAGGGAAACCAGAGGCTAAGCCTTGTGGGAGACAATTTGAATCTCGACAATTAGTCTCTGCTGTCGCTCAGTTTGATCTCACACTGTGAAAAATGTTGTCAGGAGCTTTAATTGTGTAAAGAGCACATTTTGGAATGCTAATTAGAAATCTGCTGCACTCATTTTTCTGGGTTAAATCATAGATTCAGAAGCGAGGATGATGCTATGATGGCGAGCATTTATCACAGACACATCATTATACATGGTGACAAATCAGTTTACATGTGGGCAGACTTCCCTCTCTGACTGTGTAGCAAAAAATGACGAGGACAAACTGCAAAGGTTGCAAACACTAACAACTGTTAATCATTTTTACTCCTGCGCCTGAGCTGGCCTGATCGTGCCGTGCCCACTCTTGCCATGCTTGCCTCTTGTGGTGTACATAATGAAAAGAATGGAGCCGCCAGTCATATTGGCTCTCTAAATAGCATTTTCTGCTTTATTAGTCATACTTAATGGTGTTGAAGGGGTGAGTGATGCAAAATCCCTTTGTTCAGAGCCCTTCTCTTACTGTGAACGGTTCTTGATCGAAAAAAGATTCCTCGACAATTGAGGCTGAATGTGTTTTACACGCTGGGCTTACTTTGCCTATTTTAGAAGGGGAATTGTGCATGCTCTCATCAAAAAGATTGATGGCATGAGCAAGGAAATAAAAGTGGTGGAGACTGTCTGCATAGCACCACAGCAGGCAGGTAGTTGGACCAAAAAAGACAATCCCATTCATGTTAGATGGACAGCTCCTTTGATATTTCATCATAGCGAACAAAAAAAAGTGATGCATCATCAATCCACCCACCCACCTATTGTACATGATGTGAAAGCAAAATGTAAACCAATTATAAATATCCATCAGAGCCTAAAATGAATCCCAGATGTTTACAGAGTGTTAGTCACGTATGCCTGTCTGACAGTTTCACGCCTCTACATGTAAGAAGATGTCATGAGCATACATTTTCCTCTGTTTTTTACATCAAAAAGCAATAACTTAAACAGAAAACTGAAGAGTAAGAGAAAAGGCAAAGACACTGAAAGTAATAAATGGAGGGAGGGGGGTGAGAAGTGGTATGCTTACGCTGGATGTCAATGGTGACACTGGTCTCCTTGCCGTTGGGGACTGCCTTGTTGGAGGCCTTACAGATGATCTGCTGACCTGTCTCGATGTTAGAAGGCGATAGGTAAAGTGTGCTTACAGTGCTTTCTCTCCTGCCATCCCGGAGCAGGGTCTGCAAAGAGGGTAAGTAAAGTAAAGTTGAGTAAAGTTGAAAGTAACAGTGCAGACAGTCTTGTGGATGAAGTTGTTGTAGGCCTCTAAATATATACCAAGTATGGCTGGTTGGTCCAATGCATCGTTACCTTGGATTTTGATTTTCAAAATCAATAAACAAAATCTCCAACAAGATAGATTTTGAATTGTAGAAACTTAGAGTCAAATACATAATGGATTGTATTTTCAATAGGGCAAATTCAAGTTGGGATTCTAAACAGTTTAAATGATAAACAAACAGAGAAGAAAGATGGAACAAACAGTTAACCAGAAAAGCTTTGATGGAGAAGGTGTAAAATCTGGAAAAAGGAAACAGCAGCAAATTCACGAATACACACATCTTGTCCCTTGGGGGACCAGAGGCAAACCATAACACTGTAGCCTGTAGTTTTACTGCAAAGCTGATTGATATGAAAAAATAGAAAAGTAGAAATATGTTTTTTTGAGCCTCTTTTGTGCGTCTGGAGAGCTGTGCTCTAGTGCATGGCTTGTCATACTTCACAAAGGAAATCAATCTTCTTTTCAGCGCTCATCCTCTGAGCCCTACATTGTGGAAACCATCTGGAATCGGTTGGTAGCGCTCAGTAGCTCTCACTCTCCCCAAAATGCTCAGGGTAGGGCTCTGGGAGTCTATGTTAACCAGTGCGGGGCAGAACAAAGTCACTGACTAGAACAAATTGCATGGGCAACGGGGCACAGTGTGGTCAACCACAAAGTCAAGATGCATTTTCCTGCCATCTCTTTAAAAGAGGCTCGCTGTTGCTTTGTGTTTTTGAAGAAAATCACCTCCTCTTATAGTGAAGTACATCAAATATTTTCTTAATATAGAAATGTAACCTGCTTTCCAGCTCTGCTACCTTTGGATTAGCCTTACAAATGTATGGATTACCTCATGGATATTTCCTCTACTTGGAAATACATACAGCAAGAAAAAATCATGTCACACCTCAATGTCAATCTGCAAACCAATACTTCTCCAAATGTTATGCCTCCTTTCTTCTGTACAATATGTTTAAATATTAAAGAAAAGTTCTAGAAAGGCACACAAGGTAAGTTGAGATGTCATAATGGAAACTTAGCCAGGTATATTACTATGGGCCTACATTAAAATGTTCACATAAAGTTCAAGAAAGGTAAGCAGCATATATATTTAAACCATCATAATCACTTCCCCATAATTTGATAGCTGACTCAAGCTGCGGCTCCTTGTCAGTGTACAAACCAGTAGTAATTATTGCCACATTTTTCTAGTTTAATGCAACGGTTGCTTTTTAATAAAACTGTAATCTAACTATGTACCCTCCTTCTCTCTTAAGCATAACACATTCAGAATGATACAATTAAAATGTCATTGTGCTTGTAAAATCAGATGGTGAGACATTTCCAAAGAAATATTTTTGTCCAACCACCTTATAGTTCAAGGACCTCAAGGTACCTCTCAAGTGACATTAGAATGAGTAGTATTGGGTTGAAGATAAAGAGTTTTTCTGTGTATTAATAAGAACTTAATATGTTAATGATATTAATATATTTATGTTTGAGCAAATTTAAGTATGAGGATATTACAGATGCCATGCATGTTTCTGTGAAGTCCATTTGTATGTGAAGAACCATGTTGTGAAATTCATAGTTGTGCGTGAGTCACTTCTAAAGCAGAACGCATTAGCTGTCAGATGCGGGATATGTCAATGTAATATCCTTTCTGACACAATCAGGATTGTTTCCGTCGTCGCTCTGGACCTGTCTGAAGTCATTAATCTTAGGAAGGGGGTTAGCTGGCTGCTGCACTGAATTCAACACCATGCCACATTACAAATTGATAAATTTTCATATCACTGCCTGGAGCCTGTGTGATGAATACTCTTAAACATGCTTGGAGGGGAATGGCAAAAGTAACAAAACTGAGACGGAAAGGGTTGCATTTTTTCTCGCTACATATTAAAGCTATTAAAGATTTCTGACCACTAGAGGGTAAAGGAGACAAAGAAACACAGCAATAAATTTTATATGTAAGCAAACATAAGCAGAAACTGTACGAATAGTGCATTGCATTGGCACTCTCTTTTTGGCAACCTGTTGAATTGAGGTCTAGTATTTGCTGCCGTATAGTCTTGGTTTAGGCTGTGCTTGTTTAACTCATCTCTCTGCCATCTAGGATATTTTGCATTATTTTGTGCGGGTTCACTTATCGTCAGTGTATCTTTTATTTTGACATAAATTTTCTTCTTTTTCGTAACAGCACCAGCTGCACAAGCCATTAGCTGGCTAACATAAAAACACAACAAAAGCTAACCTAGCTTGAGTTAAAGTTACAACTGCCAAGCCACATTTTCACTTGACAAGAAGATGACCTGTAGAGGACCAGCTAGTGGCTTCAAAAAGCCATCTGGATTATCTACTAATTGAAAAAACAGCTGAACTAAATGGATTATCTACTAAACGAAACTTGATGTGCTGCCAGCTAAGCTAATTCACTGTTAACACTGAACCAACACTGTGTTTACTTTTAACCTACTGCATTTATGTTAATGGTGCCATTAATCCATATATGAAAGTTTTTGACCCATGACATACACATTTTCACAAACAATTAGCTGTTTAATTTGAAAGTCCTCTATGTTTGTTTTGTTCTCATTTCTAATTTGCAAAAAATGTAAGGCATACTTCTAAGGATATTTAGTGATCACGAATGTCAGTGGATATACTATAAAAAATTGGATTTGAGTCACATTTTTAAGTATTTCTAAGTTTGCTAAATTCACCAGAATTAATAGTTCTACTGTTTGAAATGTGTTTTTAAAGGCAAGGTAATAACTCAATTGCCAAATTTTGTAACTCAACTGCAATGGTTTTGGAAACCAAACAATAAAAAATCTGGGCCACGAGTCAGGAGCATGGTTAAAAGCATGTCATCGTCTTTAATGTGTTACTAATAAGCATATTATGTTGTGTGGCAGCAATTGTGGATTTTAGTAAAATTGCCACCATGAAATGGTTTAACTCAAAAAAGCACTGCTCTTATCATATTGTGGGTGTAGCTGAGATGTCAGTATGACCAAGCACTGGACTAGGCTAATGATTTACAAGTAATTGCAAACACAAATCCACATAAGTAATAATAAAAATGTACTTCTGTCCACTGCTAATGCATGCATTAGCAGTGGACAGTCTAGGAGTTACCACTATAGCAAATAACAGCCGATCAACCTTGCACCATATATGCATCATATTCTGTGAGCTCTATTAAGTATAGGCCTATAGAATATGTAGTATAGACTTACAGATATTAAGTAGATTAGATTACTTTGTTTTTTAAATGTTGTCAATGGATCACTGTAAGGAAGGTAATGACTTGAATGTATTTGAGGTGTTATATTTGCACATGATAAAGCATATTTTGTCCAATGTTTTACTTCTTTGTAAAGCCATAGTCTCAAATTTACCTTTAAGTCACTTATTTGGTCAATATATAAGTTCATGGAAAACATTAGGACATGCTTATTACTCATCTTTTATGAATATTTTATTCAAACCCTCAAGTCCTCTATAACATAAAACTAAAGTCAGAAATGAAAATAACCCACTGAGACCCGGCTGGTGTGCAGGGAAAGCATTCATTGGGTCAGTAATAGTGGATGTAGAGGACAGAACCCTCCTGGGGATGGTGCGGAATTTATTAAGTAAGCAAAAGCTAATACTTCATAAGTCATTAATATAATGCTAACCCTTCCAACACGCCTTTGATCTGATATCAAATGCATCCAGTTTTATGCTGGGTAATATGTGGGTTATATTCAATCAGACATTTTTAACATCGGACCCCACAGGTTACTTTACTAAAACCATTGATTGCTTTAACATTGTACTATACATGTATGCAGAAGCGAAAATATACCTTTTTTGCGATGGTCACAGAATTTCTTTAATTTAACTTAACTCACTAGTCACCGGAAAAAAATTATTTCAAAAGTTGTTAGTAGCAATTAAATGAAGAGATCTATATTTCAGATCATACTTCAGTTTTAACCCTGAAAATTAGGTTAATTTGTTTGCCAAAATCTTTTGAGATCTTCTAAAACTTGCACAATGACTAATATTAGTGTTGAAAGAAAACATCAAATTTTAACTGGTTTATTTATAAGTGTTCCCCACTTATATTATTATTGAAATGAAACAAAGTGCTCTAATAAAAACATGAAGAATGGGAGGAGCATAAAACTGAGAGGAAGAAAAAGCTTTGAACACTTTTATGAAAGAAGGGTGGATTCAGAGAGAAAAACTAAAGGGACAATTATGTTTTCTGTTAAAAATGATATTGATCAACAGAAGCAGCTTCGTGTAAATTTTAGCAACTTTACCTGATATTACATTTTCACACTATTTTACTGCAAAGCTGAGAGGGTGCACAATAAAAAAAAAAGTATTCTGGTTTAGCTGGCAAGAACAGCTCATAAAAATGTCATCTTTTTATTCCCTTTTAAGCCTCAGAACACTGAGATAACTCCCCGGTCTCCTGCTCACCTCTCAGCTTGCCACCAGGGCATTCAGAAAAATGTGTAGCAGACTGGGGCGGAGAATGCATCATGTTTTTCAAATGATTTGTTGTACCATTCCACTGCAGAAGTATCATAGAGCACAAGTGTGTGCACCTCCAAACCACAGCTCAGACCTGGAGGCTGCATATTACAAACAGTCCTTTGCTGTTTGCCACTGAGCAGCTCTACTGGAGCAGATGGGAGATGAGTGTTTGAGGGAAGAGAGAACATTATTCATTAATTTCCTCTGCCCACATTTTAACAGCTAGTCTTGATATTTGAACCATTCACCTTACTGTGACAAGTTTCTGCCACTTGATTATTTGGGGTGCCCCATCCATGATACTGTTCTTTTTTTCAATTCAGTGTCTCTCTTATATGGTAAAACCCAATGTGATATCATAGAAGGGTGTATAAATAGCATGCCACATTTAAGGACATTTCGGCGTGCCATGTCAATGTATTTAAGCTTTTCGTCATTTCACGTTGTTCAGTCCCTATAGACCTAAGCAACACCACAGGATGTTAACCCTATTTGCGCAGCTGTAGGGTTAACTGGTCGACATGCACATATAACGAATGATGGCATATTTTATGGTTAGCAGTAAAGTACTTTAACGTAGCTAAAGGAACATAGCTAATGCTATGTAGCTAACATAGCTAAAGTTAGCAATGATGTAGCATGGTAACTTACGTAACGTAATGTAAGTAAAAAACAAAACTAATGTTGTGTAATTATGGTTTCCCCGAACGCCGGGCTCTTGGGTCAGGGACCAACTTACTATCCGCCCAACCACCCGACCGCCAACTTAGTGTCGGACTTTCATGGCTATTTATATCCTATACACGCTTTTGCCTGTGACAGTAAGCGTAAAATGGCACGCCGTTTCTGCACAATAAAAGTCAATGCAGTCTAAATGGCATGAAATGAAACGCGGAAAGCAAACAATGCATTGGAATACTACGCCAAAAGACTTAAGAAATTGCCGTGTTATTAATTTTGATGATACCAGGCTGTAAAACCAACACACATTTTGGCACACACTTTCTCTTTAATCACTGGTCCAGTAAATAGTTTTATAAGAGGTCATAGAGATGAGGTTTTGGAGGCCTTAGTGTGAAATTATCTTTGGGTCAGAACTATCATTAGATATGACACCATCAGGAAAGCCATTTCTGTGAATCCTCCACCACATCTGCTCACATTAGTCCTCTTCATCTGCAGGATATGAGAAGACCATCAGAGCAGATGATTATGCTTGCAAAATGTCCCCCCACTGCTCTTCAGACCCAAAAAAAGAGTCATCTTCTTTTAATCGAACCCATTGCTTTTTAATGGTAGGCAATAGAGATAAGAGGGGAGAGGGACATACTTGGGCGGCGCAGGCATGTGAGCATCCATCAGCTACCAGCACAGAATTTCCTCTTATTTTCCTTCACTCTTTGAGGAAGTGAATGCAGGAAGCGCACTCTCCGCCCACCATTAGCAAGTGACACCTCCAGCAATCACTTTATTCAAATCGGCCTGGTGCTGTACCCCAGTCCAATCAATGGCATTTATCTGCTCTTTGAAAAAAGCCGATAATGGGATGAGGCAGTGCAGGGATCGAGGGAAGGCGGGGGAGGTGTTAGAGCTCTAAAGTGCCTGGTGTCTGTATGTCCTTTGTTTAAACTGAAATAGAACATGACAGTGTTGATTGCAAGATTAGCCTTGAGGATGAATGTCAGTTCAGAGTCTATGGGGTCAGGTGATCATGACACCAGGCTGGTGGGAACAGTGGCCATTGTATACTATGGCATCAAAAGTGGGAACGTGATCTGTCAGTGAGAATCATACTTTGAAAGGTTCAGGCAGCTTCCAGCACAGAAAGTGACATAGTATATTTTATAACAGTTTGGCAAGATGAAGAGAGACAAATGCCACTGAAGGAGGAGATCAAAACACCAGAGAGAAATGTAAAGTCACTGATAGTTCCATGAGCTCGCCATCTGCTTGTCTGAGTTGATTTGTATACTGGGAAAAAAAGGCCAGGCCTCTTTTTTTGTAATCAAAACACAACCTGGATTTTCAAGGGATTTCATTTCAAAAAACAGTCGGAGGATGCTGAGGCAAACGCCCACCAATGACTCAGGCAGTCACTCTGAAACATCTCATGGATGTTAATTGTAGCACGTTTCCAGTAGTTGTTTACAGCAAAGCCAGACACGCATTCCCTGTCTCAGATTACCTTTATAAAAACTGGTCTAGAGAATGAAAGCACAGCCAAACCCTCAGTCATCATTCCCTCCCCAACTTGTCCCAGGCGGGTCCAACCTGGTATGACACACACCTCTATGCTTACCTTGGAGTACATGGCCCCGTTAAGGACCTCCCCATTGCGGATCCAGATTATTGAGGCTGCTGGCTTGGCGTTGTCAGCATGGCAAGTCAGATTGAGTGGGTCGCCAGCCCTTAGGCTCACCACTGGCCCTCCACTTATGACAGGGTCCTCTGGGGGAACTATTGATACAGAAACAGAGTAAGAGAGGGCATTAGCCACATGATAATAAATGTGTTGCATATTATTAGGAAACCAATATTGGTTGTCTAATTCACATGAAATCTGGACCATCATTAAAGTATATAGACATGTAACTGAGTTATTATTCAACATGTAATTGTTATTTTTGTTGAATGGCATATTGACATCTAATTACTTCACTAATTTTTCTTTTACATGCAATTCTGTCCAATAGCCTTTCCACAACACTGTGATACTAGAAGTCTACACCGTATAAGAAAAAATAATTTCAAATGGTACCTGCAAGGATTTGACTGCATTGCACCTAACCCTCATGAAACAGTGAGTACTTTGGTTTATTGTATACAGATTATTTTTCCTTAGAAAATAAAAGCCACGACTTTCGTTACTCATTCAATGACAGTAATGACTTCACAGTAAGAAGTAGCTTTATCCTGTGCTTGATCGAAAACTAGCAATAGATGGTGGAGTTTGAGGCATGAAAAGCTTTACACAGCACGACTCTCTAAATAACAATCATCTCTGCCATCAGTCAAAGCAGATGTGATTTCCCCACATTTATGTGTGTATACAAACAATACACACATACGTGTCAGCATTAAATGTAATTCAGTCTATGTATAAGCCCCCTTAGACACATAGATGTAAACAGAGAGAAGAAAGCATCACAACTGTGCTATATGTGCCTGTAGATGGTACTGATCAAAGTCCTTTTCCTGTTTTACCAATGAGCCGATGTGTTTGTTTTTTTCTTTTTTTCATATGTGAAACTGCAGTGAATTATTGATTGACCTGAGTGCTCATTACAATGCAGATCTGGGGCAAGATGAAATCAAAGGCTGCAGGCAGCTGCCATATTCCCCTGCAAAAGCACCATGATTGGAGAAGAGGTTGTTATGGGCTAGATTTAGGCTGTCAAACACCACTCAGATGAATGAAGAGAGAGAAAATGTAATTTGGGATACTGTTTTGTACGTTTAATGATAATCCGTATAAAAAGGCTCTTTTATGGACATAAATGAGAGTGTGGTGCCAGAAAAGTGTGCATACAGTGTTATGTTGCCCGCACGTCTATGAAATAACTTACAGAAAATTCAGTTATCACTTTACTTAACTCAGTTTTAGTTTTAAGTTTTTAAAAATAATCAAACAATACTTGTTTTATTTCTGATCTAGATAACTGCATTAACTTTATAGTTATAACCCTTAACATTTTCATGAAATCAAACCATGCTTTTGATACTATTTATGGTCATAAATCTTTCAGCAATAGCCGTGTACATTCTGTAATTAAATTTTTATATTATATTTTTTCATTGTATTCCTGCACTGGATTAATATACCTTCCTACACACGAGAGATTCACATAAAATTATGCAGCCCATGATTCAGTGTTTCACTGTTTTAAATTTTATATCAGCCTTACTGCTTACTGTTCACTCTTGTAATGCTAACCAAATATTTGCTACTATTGCTGCCTCACATTGAAAGCATTCACCTGGCTTTTATTGTGAAGCAGTCACAGTCATTGCAGGAAAGGCAATGTGTTTGTCACATTGATGAGTGTAGCGCCGTTAACTGCAATCCTTTATTAAAAATGTGTCTACAAAACAAGACATGGAGATTTGTTGTGTGGAAAACTACTTCCCCGGTGCACCATGAAATCAGATCACGTTTGGAAATATTTTTTAAAGACTTCTCTATTAAAACAAGTTTGTTTGGTTGAACTGTAATCCGATACACCAGTTGTATTTCAGACAAAGCACTGTAGCTGCTCAAGGGTGTCCCAAAATCAACAAGGACTGAAATCTTAAGGATTACAAATTTAAGATGTAGATTTTAGTCTAATGCAGAAGTGGTCACATATCATTTGTGGCATATCATTCAAACCATGAAGATCAGCACCTTGAAGCTGGTCATCTACATTAACATTGCACTCCAGTTCTGTGGCACAAGATCATTTTAGTCTTCAAGTGCTGTGGTTGATTAGTGCATGGCGGAGGCGTTTTGGTCTTTTGCTCATATGACTAATGCCTTTCCATTACAAAAAAGACAAAAAGACAGGCAATAGGTTTGTTTGTCCAAATTATCAAAAAGCACACCCATCAGTAGCACACATTGACAATGAAAAAGACCAGACCAGTGTGGGAACAATGCACTCTGGATGCTGACTAGACCAGACTAATAACTTGACCAGTAAATTTGCAATTTCAAAGACAATTCCCACTCACTAGTTACTATTGTGTGTTTGAAATGCAGTGTTAATTCTGGCTGGGTCCCTTTCATCTGGTCTTCATTAATATGCAAAGGGTAGGGAGAGGTAGAGCAATCTCGGGTCAGCATTAGCAGATCAGACAACACAGTGTGCTGATCTAGGCAAGTAAGAAAGAATCTTTGTGAGAATGTGGTCACCTTCTGGTCGGTTATTAGCAATTGGAAACAAGGTCAAGAAGATCGGATTAATTTATATGTATCTTAAGAATATAGCTACAGCATGGTATGCAAATGAGACAAGGAGCATGTGAAAAACACTATGAGCCGGGACTCTCAAACAGCTTTCCCGTTTGAAGAAAATGAACAAACTTTGAGGCTCAGTGATAGCACTGTGACAGTTGATTGCAGAGATCCAGTGTTACTGGCTTTCTGTCAGTGTTCTCTTGCACACATGACTGAAACATTAATTAAATGTCAAGAATATAATATACAGCCATAAAAGGGTTTTTATGGAGAGTGGGAGATTAGAAAGAAAAGCATGACAGTATGTGACTGATAGGACTCAGACTTGAATGCTCACTGCAATGCAAGCGAGGTGATTTTCCTGCTATTACTTACAAGTGCTCAAGACTCTTAGAGAAAGAGAGATCAGAGACATTTTTTTTGCTTTCTCTCAAAGTAAAAAGTTCTCCTATACACACATTAACACATATTACTGTCTATACATAAGTGCTACAGGGTAACAAAGTGACACCATTAATCAACAAGGTTATACCCTGACAGACTTTAGGTCACAATGTACCTCCTTTGACCTTTAACCATGTGTTTACCATTAAGGGCTGTCAGAGCATACAGTGCAAGAGAACTTTATGATTCTTTGCACAGCGGAGCTACATGGGAGAGAGGAGGTCACATGTCCCCCTGGAGGGCTACCTGCCAGCAAGACACTGAGGGTGAATGGTGAACAGATAGAGAGAAGACGGGCATGGCTGGCTGCCTCCACCCAGCACCCATATCTTTGAATGTTTCTGTCCTCCATTGTGTTTGAGATCTTAGAGTATGCGGAGGGTAAAGACAATTTGTGACTGTCTGGACTGAAATTGTTTTCTGTGTAAGTACCACATGCACAATGCTCTCAGCATGTGCTCTTATGGAATCTTTTTGAAATCACCACCACTAAAAGAGCATGGACAACTCACCAAGGCAAAAAAACAGTTAGACTTAATTACACAATTGTCCAGTAAAAGAGGAAACATTTACGCTCTTTTTCTTGGCAGGTGAAAGCCTTTATGTCCGCTGAAGAAATGGGAAAATATGTGACCAATAACCCAACATCCATTGAATACAAATGAATGTCTAGGAAAAAATTATTTAAATAGATATTTAGCTCTTGCTCTTCATCTGAAATCCTCCACTGACCCTGCCTTATGACTGCCAGGTCTGATAGTTATACAGAGGCCAAGCCTTGAACTTGAATCAGCCATCATCATTACTGGGCTGTTTGCAAACTCGGCAGTCCCTAATGGTTCTAAATTAGCTCTTTACTGCAGCCATTCGATGGACTTGGCATAAGTAGTGTGGTCAGTGGTACAGATTGATCGCTCCTCTTTAATTACAGGGCAGACTCACTGCAAACTCTGCTCCACTTGCTAATTTTTTCTTAGTTTTTTCTTTTCTTACTGTAATCCCTTTCAACACTTTCACAAATTTACATTCTCCAGTGCATGAATAGTCATGGACATGTGTTTCAGTTATTACAGGTTTTATGTAAACCAAAGATAACTAATATCAGATCAGTCACAAAGCGGTTGTGCTATTAATCAAATATAACGCCTTTGGTTTTACCTAAATACTGTAAAATAGACATAAGCTAACAGCCAGTTCATTAATTTGATCATTTGAAAAAGAGTTTGTTGGGGTTTTTTGGCTTTGTTAGATCATGACATAGATGTCATGGTAGTTATACGCTCCAATCAGTCCCTTTTTTGTGTGAGTGAAAAATCCAATTGCTATGTCACAGCGTACACTAACCTAAACCAGTCCCTTAGATGGGTAATTCCACAATTTTGCTGTAAGACTGCTTAAGTCTTATGGAGGTCCATCACCGCACCTAGTCTGAGATAAGATTTGGGCTTCATTTATATCTCCAAATCTACCAATGGTGGACATATTTGACTACACTCAATCAAAATGAAAAAAAAAAACAGTGATGTCAGAAAGCCTGGAATTCAGTGAGATCATTTACTTTTACTGCATAATCAATGTTATCCATAAATGAGACCAAGGCATATTGATGTGTAATTAAGTCAACAATGCAAGGCAGTAAGTCCGTCACCTCTGAGAGGGGCCTGAATAAACCCTGTGGAATATAAAGCTGCCTTTTTGTCCCGTGATGCATATGAATTCTCCAAACACCGAACATAAAATTCCACAAACACAAAACATAAAACTTGAATTTATGCGAGGGGAAGCTGATAACATGTGCTGGAGTTGGCTGAGAAGTCTTCTTCGGTCTGGTAACAACTGGTGTTACTGTAAATCTGCTGGGTTTTCCAGGCCAAACCAATATTTGGGGGACTTTTCCAAAGCAGCCAATAAAATTCTGCAAGAACCCCAGCTTTCCGGGAGCATGAGCAAGGGAGAAAAAGCAATTTGGAGGCGAATGAATAAGGGAGGGCTCCCCACAAGGAGGCTGGATGGTGTAGGGGAGGGGAGGCTGGCAATGTGTAGCTGCCGTAGAGCTGTGCTTCAGCAGACGTGTCCT